AAATCACTAATTCTTACCAAAAACAAAGCGTATTATAAATATTAATTCTAAAGTACCAGTGAGTGGATCAATGCAGGACCAGAGTTTCCAAAGAATATTTTAAGTCTCCCTCCCACTGCATGAGTGAACATGGTCTGGAACACATACTTTATTTGGAATGTTGATGTCACTTCCTGCTGTCAGCAGCACTTTGCTGCACTCTTCATGACCTCCTTCAACACTCAGAAAGAATGGTGTTTCTCCATTCTAACAAAAGGAAAAATAAGTTAAATTTAATTGCCCCTTGTCATGGAATGAAATTACTTGACAAACAACATGCTTTCTCTATGCCTTTTATGCATTACTCTTAATAATGGATAGCATTTATTGAACAACTATGTGTCAACTTGTACTGCCAAGACTATATGCTTTGGCACAGTTAAATCACACAATGCTATAAGGGCAGGGTTAATATTTTCCACATGTTACAGATAAGAAAACTAAACCTCAGCTGAAAAGTGTCAAAGTGGCTGGGTTCAGTGACTCAGCCTGTAATCCCAGCACTTTGGGAGGCTGAGGCAGGCAGGATACTTGAGCCCAGGAGTTACAGACCAGCCTGGGCAAAATGGCAAAGCCCCATCTCTACAAAAAGTTTACAAAATTAGCCAGGCATAGTGGTGGATGCCTGTAGTCCCAGCTACTTAGGAGGCTGAGGTGAGAGGGTCACCTGAGCCCAGGAGGTTGTGGCTGCAGTGAGACAGGACTGCATCACTGCAGTCCAGCCTAGGCAACAGAGTGAGACCTCGTCTCAAAACAAAAACAAAAAAAAAAAAAGAAAGAAAGATAATCTCAGAAATAAGGAACTATAGTACAGTATGAAACACACAAAATTAGAAGTCCATTTGCACCAAGTATAACTTTAATCTTTACAACTGATTAAATGTTACATGACATTTAAAAAAATAACATTACTTTAAAAAATCTCAGTACTTCAGTTTCCTGAAACTCAAGATAAATACTAGGAGGACGAAGTAAGAGTTTAATTCAGGCCAAAATGAGGAAAAAGAAGGAGCTGGTCCCACACAATAGCTACTTGGCTATTTCCCTTTCCTCATGCAGACTCTTTCCTAAAAATGTTGGGAAGAAATGCAGAATTCCTTCCCCATTCCCTAACCATTTCCCTCCTTGGACATTAATCTGCTTAACAACTACTTTAGGATAAATTCAGAAGGCTTTACTCATAGCAAATTAGGTATGAACAATCATGTTAACAGGAACACAAGAGTATAGAAACCAGTGTTCCCATTCCAACAAGGTGGGAAAATCATATTCCAGGCTGCTTTACCTGGGTGCCTGGGACAGCCATCTGCTTATAAAGGCATTTCTCTGCCAGGCATGGTGGTGCATGCCTGTAATCCCAGCACTTTGGGAGACTGAGGCGGGCGGATCACCTCAGGTCAGAAGTTCAAGACCAGCCTACTCAACATGGTGAAACCCCATCTCTACTAAATATACAAAAATTAGCCAGGCGTGGTGGTGGGCCCGTGTAATCCCAGCTACTCTGGAGGCTGAGGCAGGAGAGTCACTTGAACCTGGGAGGCTTAGGTTGCAGTGAGCCGAGATCATACCACTGTACTCCAGCCTGGGCAACAAGAGCGAAGCTTCATCTCAAAAAAACAAACACACACACAAACAAAAAAGGCATTTCTCCTCATAATCTTCCTTCTCATTTTTCCAGGAAAATGGATGCAAAAAGACAAATCCCAGTGGGGAAAATATTTGTTAAAAAGATGTGTAAAGGAAAGAATTCATATCCAGAGCCTGATAAGGTTTCATATCTTGGACCCTGCAATCTGCCTCTAAGGATATACTCCAAGGCAATTGTGAGGAAATCAGACTCAGGTTTATATACAAAGAGGTCTGTGACAGCACAACCTATAATAAACAAAAACTGAAACTAAATAACCAAGAGCTAAAGAATAGTTAAGTGAATTTGGAACAGCTATGAAAAATATATTGTACATATATGCAGAGGAACACAATAAAATCCATCAGATGTGTATAAGATCATCCTTTGAGCTGGGCATGGTAGCTCACACCTGTAATCTCAGTTGCATGGGAGGCTGAGAAGGGAAGATCACTTGAAGCCAGGAGTTTGAGACCAGCCTGAGCAACATAATGAGACCCTATTTCTAATAATAATAAATAATAATAATTCTGTGAGTTTAGAGAAAATACAAAACTGCTATTTATTTTTTATCTTGAATTTTAAACATTTATATTTCTAGCATATACTTTATAATGAATTAATTGAATTATAAATGTATATGTGATAGCCACATGCTCAAACTTTCTTTACTGATATGAGTTTGCTGCCAAGAATGTCTGGAGACCACGGCTTTAGAGCACATTCACATGGGTCCCTCTAACTGATCTGGCAACAGCTTGTATCAGGAAGCAGAGGCTGTCCACAAATGGACAAACATTATGAATCATATGCAAAAAGATGATATTATTATCACTGTGCCCTTAATTTTGTGCAAATTAAACCTATCATAATCTGAAATTAAAGTTTTTTGGGCTTTATGAATTTTCCCCAATGTGCCCTGACTCCAAAGTTGCTAAAAGGAAGATGAAATCCACATGCATGCACACATTCCAGTGGTTTAAATACGTTTTAATAGAACAGGGAAAGCATAACTAATACTATAAATAAGACTATAAATCCTGTGACTACAGGACTTGATCTCTGCTTTGGTTTGAATGTTTGTGTCCCTCCAAAATTCATGTTGAAACTTAAATCCCCAATGCAATAAGATTAAGAGGTGGCTTTTATGTGGTGATTAAATCATGAGGGCTAGCTCAGTCAACCAGGTGGACATAATTGTTGGTGTTTGAGCACATGCATTACACTGGAATGGGTATCAGTGGCTTAGAAGAAAATCTTAGAAACAACAGTGGGGCATTCTTTAAGAAATGCTGCATCTCCCATGCCACTGTACTCCAGCCTGGGTGACAAAGCAAGACCCTGACGCTATAAGAAAAAAAATAAAGTAAGAAAAAGAAAAAAGAAAGAAATCATCAAGACTGAATAAGTGATTTAGAAGAATCTAATTCAGCATGAAGTTTACAAACAATTAACCGAGTTATCTTGCTTATTTTTTTCTTTATATATACACGTAAAAAACTAACAGTCTAAAAACATCTTCAAATATGCAGCATAAAATAAATTTAAGTGACACTTAAATTGTCACTTAAATTGTCACTTAAATGTCACTATTTTAAGTGACAATAAAGTTTTTTGTCACAGTTAAATGGCAGCATTATTTTTTCTGAGTGTTACATAAAATAATGGCGTGCCTTACAATCAATGGTATCTTAAGGTAAATGCTTATGATACTAGTTCTTTCGGTAGCTCTCAGGTGAGGCATCAAGTTTAGAAATGATCAGAACATTAAACTGTGAAATCCAAGAGGACCCCACTGACCCGAGTTTCCAAAGAGCCAGACAAAAAATCACTGGACCATAGGTTAAGCAGTGACCATCCAGGGCAAATGACTCACAAACTTGCCCTGCATAGCCACAGTCATATCGCCTCCACCAAATCCAGAACCAGTTTCTTTTTACTTTTTTGGTTGTGTTTTGTTTTGTTTTGTTTGAGATGGAGTCTTGCTCTGTTGCCCAGACTCAAGTGCAGTGGCACAATCTCGACTCACTGCAACCTCTGCCTCCCGGGTTCAAGCGACTCTCCTGCCTCAGCCTCCCAAGTAGCAGGGATCACAGGCACCTGTCACCACACCCAGCTAATTTTGTATTTTTAGTAGAGACAGTGTTTCACATGTTGGCCAGGCTGATCTCAAACTCCTGACCTCAGGTGATCCACTCACCTCGGCTGCTCAAATTGCGGGGATTACAGGCGTGAGCCACCATGCCCGGCCCCAGAACCAGTTTCCAGCTCACTAACACTCCACCTGAATGTACCCCCCTCCCAAGTGCCTCAAACAAACCCATTCAAGCCCTCATTACCTACCCCACTCACCTGCTCCACACCTGTACTCCCCAGCAACAGCCCAAGTCAGATAGCTGGGGGCAGAAAGTCCTCCCTCTCTCTAAGTCCTGGTCATAAGTCCTGTGGACTCTGCCTCCTCCTACCACTTCATCCTGTTTGTTGCTCATGAGTGTCTCAGTGAGAGGTCTTCCATAGGTCTTGTTTCCCCATTTTGGCAGTCACCTGACTGGTCCTCCCCACTTCTGGGCTCTCCTGGCACCCGGTCTACCTTTCAAACGGCTATGACAGTTACCTGCCCACACCTAAGATGAATTCTATCCCTTTTCACTACTTAAAACCCTTCAAGGTCTCTGCTGGCAACCACATCAAAGCCAAACCCTCCCTCCTGTAAAGCATGGCCTTTCGTCATCTGTCTGCCTTGGCCTACTAGGCTTCCAGCTTTCCCAGCCCTCCTAGTCACAATGTCTGCCACCCTGAGCTTGTCAGCCCAGAACACACCATACTCTTGCCTCGGTTCTTTTCCTTGGACTTTTCCCTCTGAAATACTTTATACTTGTGCCATCCTCAAAATCCTTCCTGCCAACATTCATTACAATGCCAAGACCCAGATAATATATCACTTCTTCTGTGAAAACTGTAATTTCTGAAAAACGTCTTCCTCTGTGTTCTCATGGCATTCTCTGTAGACCTCTATTATTGCATGTAGCCCGATATATTATTTGTTTTTCATGCCCTTCTTGCCCTGTAGGCTTCTGGAATAAGAGTACATACTTCATCTGGCATACAGTACATATTGAACAAATATTATTTGAATGAACGGGTGAATAAATGAATGAATTAACAAATGAAGTGCTGTGGAATACTTTGAAGAATAAAGTAAGAATCTTTCAGCATCACATTTTACACCCTATGGCACTAACACCTTTGTTTTCCTCCCACTCATTTCTTGAAAGCCATTCCTCCAACCCTTCCCCATTTAAGTCCTGTGCCTGTAATGCGTACTTCCACATACCTCATTCATCTCATTTATGTCTTGCCACTGGGTTAGCAGCACCTGCACTGCAGGACTGTGACCGTGCTTTGCAGCGAGGTGCAAGGCAGTGTTTCCCTCCTGCAACAGAGACACACTCGGGGTAGAATGCCCTGTGCTGGGAGAGCATGTTCCTTCAACAGTAAGGGCTGCAATGGAGTTTCTGGAAGTTTTCATTTTGGTTAAAGCACGGTCCAGAGCGTGGACCACTGTATCTGCAGTTTTAAGTGAAATTTATACATTTTTAAGTTTTAAATAAAAAGGTATAGCTTTCTGAACCAGTAGGAAAAAAATCATCCATGCTCCTTCTTCTAACTTTGCTACCAATTGCTAGCAAAACATGGAGCAACAGAAGAAATTCCATTTGACCTATGTGAGGGTAAAATGGTGAAAGATTTCTGGGAGGTCATTTTAGCAATATTATATATCCAAAGATTTTAAAATGTGCAGAAGCCTTTGACCCACAATTCCACATCTAGGAATTTCTCCTAAGAAAGTCATCAAAGGTGTACATACAGATACGATGTCTACCCCAGGGTTTTCCCCTCCCCTTTCATGTAAGGCTGAGGCTCCAGGAGACCTCATGGGAGGAGAGAAGAGGGGTGGAGTTGATCATGGAAAAATCCATGTGGTCTATTGACTTCACAAACATTATGAAGCAAAAACTGCCAATCTGGACAACCCACAGCAGCAGTGGAAGGATTTTGCCTGGATAGTTCATGATTCTCTCTGAGTACAGTAACAACTTACAACTCTTCTGCTGACTAAAAGTCCCTCACCAAATCTACAGGCCAATTGTTACCCCTCTACATCAATTGTTACTCCCCTTTCTCTTGTTCTCAGCAAAGAAATAAAAGTCCAACTCACCTTGTCCTTTTCTGAAGTATGCAGGTTTAGGAAGGTAAGTTTTTCTATCATTTCAACATGGCCCCTCTCAGCTGCCAAAAGAAATGGTTTTCTTCCTTTCTAAAAATCAATCACAAACCTCAAGCATTTATTACACTCTTAGTGAACAAGCACGACAGTGGACAAAGCTAGTGACATTTTAAGAGAAATGTTTAGGTTTGATTTTTTTAGAAGATAAGCTCAAATATAGAATTTTCTGATTATGGAATTCCTCCTACTTTTTATGTTGCCAATGGAGACTATATTTTCCATAGCCAAAATGTCATCAAGAAAAGTGAAAGACTTGTCTTAGTCTGTTTTGTGTTGCTATAACAGAATACCTCAGTCTGGGTAATTTATAAAGAAAAGAGGTTTATTTAGCTCACAGTTCTGCAGGATGGGAAGTTCAAGGGCATGGTCTTGGCTTCTGGCAAGGGCTTTCACACTGTGTCATAACATGACAGAGAAAGTCAAAGGGATGCGAACATGTGTGAAGAGACAAAACCCAAGAGGCATCCTAGCTCTCACCCTCGTGGGAACTAATTTATTCCTATGAGAATGAATCTAGTCCCACCAGAGTGAGAACTCACTACCTGAAGAATGTCACCAAGCCATTCATGAAGATCCACCCTCATGACACAAACATCTTCCAAGAGGTCCCACCTCCTAACACCACCAGATTGGGGATCCAATTTCAACATGAATTCTGGTGAGGACAAACCATAGCCAAACTATAGCAGATCCACAGAAAATGTAATGTTGTAACTTGAGATAATTAAAAGAAGGAAAAGGAAGTTGTGGTGGCAATATGATAGCAGAAGTATTTTCTTCAATTAAAGAGAAAACACTCACAAATTGGCTTAGTGTGTTACTAACTGAAAGCTTAGCAAGGTGTCTTAATGTTAAAAAATAGATACAAGCCTCATCTAACACTTGATAAAATAGGGTAATGAAAAGATCGTGGCCACTGTTAACCTGAGATAACAACATAGGAGCTCCCAGTAACTGGAGAAAAAAGGAAGAAAAAATGCTGAAATAATAAATGGTAAAAAGCAAAAACAAAAACAAATCTATAAAGATCAGTCCTACAGAGGTCTGTATTTATGCATGTATGGAAGCTGGAGAAACAAATTTGCACCAAAAACTTCACCTAATTCATCATTGTTGGGCCACATATGTCACCAATGAGATCTACATCTCCAACCCTTTAAAGGGTTCAGTGATTTCATTCTCAGGAGATTCCTAGAAATGGCAAAGGAAAGAAACAGAGATTGCTTAGAACCACAGTTTTCTGCACTAATTGAAGAGTAAAATTTAATCTTGAGTCATGAGCAACTCTTTGGAAACGACAGACAAAAAATTATTGTGTTTGATATACAAATATGTGCAAATAGTGACTACAGGTAAAGGTTCATGTAAACAAATCACAAAAGAGGGAACAAGAGACAGTGATTATATACTAGATGAAAACATCTGATCATATATCCTTATAAATAATTCATTAATTTCTTCAACAATTATTGAATGCCTATGAATATGCCAGATAATGTGCTAAGCAATAGTGTGACCAGGGTGAGAAATATATTGCCCATCCTCAAGTTCAGAGTCCAAAAGGAGAGATGGACACATAAGCAAGTAATTATAATGTAATGTAGTAACCGAGTGCTGGTGATATATGGGGTTATATAACTCAGCATAAGTGTGTTTGTGGCTGGAAAGGTAGGTGGTGAGAAGTGGTGGAAGAAGGCCTTTAAAGGTTGCTAATGCACTGGAACAGGAGAAAAGAGAACTTGTTACCTGATTCTTGCCTGTTATCTTTTACATTGGAGAATGACCCCTGGCTCATGCAGAAGGAAAGGGCTTTTGTTAGCTCTTTATGCACAGAGACCACAAATAATACATGAAGGTGTTGTGCCCTAGTGTGGCATTTGTTGCTTTTGCCTTTATATTTACCTTTCTTCTAGTAACTTTGTTTTACTTTGCAGAACAACCACACATACACACATAAACCCTGTCATTTAGCCCATTTAGTGCTGTCCATTTCCAAGCCTTATCTGCCTGCCTTCTGCCACATGAAGTGATTACATAACCTGCCGTCACAGTGATTGGTTCGAGATTGGGCATATGATTCAGGTAGGGCCAGTTGTTCCTGAGATTTATACATAAACATTTAATGACAGATTATTATTTCTATTTCTTATGGATTGAAATCCATAAGGATATTAAACCTGAGGCTGCTAACAGCTATCTTCCCTACTATACGAAAAGTGTACCTATGAATAATGCCAACATGCAGACAGCTAAGAAATGGACAAAGAAAAAGAGCTGGGTCCAGCCATGCCTGAAGCTGGAAAGATACACCCTCATACTCTTTAGTTACAAGTTAATAAATTACCTTCTTTGCTTAATCTCGATCAAGATGGATTTTTGTCTTTGCAACAGAAAGAATTCTAACTAATACATATTTATCAGTTTGGTAACAATACTAATCTGTTCAATTTTAAAATGGTGCTTTTCTTTTACTTGTGGTTGCTACAAAGTTTTGCATTACTGCATAGATAACAAAGTGAAAGAAAGCTTCACCTGCTAAGAGATGGGAGGTTCTGAGAAAAGACTACAGTTACCACAGATGAAAGATCTTTCCTTTCCTTTGGAAACACTATTAGTTTGAACTTTGGAAGCCCTTTAAATTTTAACAGTTATCATCCAGGAAAAAGATGTAAAAGCAAAATTACACAAAGTAAAGACATTTAAAGTAACCTATAATAAATATATGAAAAGGTAGCATAAAGAAAGGTGAGATTATAGCATAGTGAGATATAAATCTTTTCTCTCATTGAGTACATATTATTAGACAAAATAACAGGAATTTCAAAGATATATGTGGTTTTTAAAAAATAGTTTCTTATTATGTCCTTTTTTTTTTTTTAACTACCCAATCCTTTTTCATCACATTCAAGTAGGCCTCTATCCAGGGCAGTCTCATAGGCCCTCCCTTACTTGGAAGGCAGGAAGCTTTTCCAGCCAGAAGGATGGTGGAGCTTGGTGTCAGAGTCCTGGGCTCCAGGCCTTGGGCCAATCACAAAGACTCCCTGGCTCAGGATCCTGTCCGTTTAAGTACTAAAATAAGGAGGGTCCAGGATTCCTGTTCTTTCTTTCCTCTATTAACTCAATATCTATTTAACCTGATTATAACAGGGTCTTACTCTGTCACCCAGGCTGGAATGCAGTGGCATGATCTCAGCTCACTGCAGCTGCCATCTCCTGGAATCCAGTGATCCTCCCACCTCAGCCTCCCGAGTAGCTGGGACCACAGATGCGCACCACCACATGCCGGCTAATGTTTTGTATTTTTTTGTAGAGGCAGTTATTCACCATGCTTCCCGGGCTAGTTCTCAAACTCCTGAACTCAAGAGATCCTCCCACCTTTGTCTCCCAAAGTACTGGAATTACAGGTGTGAGCCACTGTGCCTGGCTAACCTGATATGTTTTAACTCAATGCATTTATTATTTTTTTTTTTTTGGCATGTAAGTCTGAGGGATTGGAATTGTTTATTATAAATTATTTTTAAGTTTACTGAGAAGATGAAATCATCAAATTTGATGTTATGAAATTCAGCAAAAATTTCATAAATAGCCATTAAGTGGGTATCCAAAGACCAACCTGACCTTCCTTTACCACAGGGATCCCCGAGATGTGTCGCTCTCAGGAGCCTCTGAGGAGAGGCGCTGGGTGGGCCTCCAGTGCATGCTCCCGCCCACAGCATTTCCCATTACCCCAGGATCAGGCACTTGAGGAAGGGGAAAACCCTGAATAACTAGAAATTTCACAGGTAAAAAAATATGTGTCATGAGGTTAAAAAAAAGAAAAAGCAGCATGTTAAATATGAAAAGGTGACACTGGTGGGGTGGGAGACAGTGGGTTAGTTCTCCCCTCACAGACAGGAAACAATAGATTTGATTAAATCTAAAATTGTTAAATGTTGCCTTGGGTCTGTATAAGAAAACAGGTGTCTTCTCAAGTCCCCTTCTACTCACTATCCCCTTCCCTCTCAGAAAAAGAAGCTTCTTTGCATTTTGACTTCCAGAGACTTTAAACCAATGGAAGTCTACCATATTCGTAGTTGAAACCAAAGCAACATTGTACCCCCAAATTCTTGTAAATATTGAACAAATACATGAATGGCGTGTGAGGCCTTCCTATTTCTCTCCCTCCCCAAACATGTTAGTCTGAGTATTTATTTTTGATCACCAGATGGACATTTATATGTAGATTCAAAATGTCTATACTTTATTCCTAACTCCTTGCTGCGCTAATCTCTCTCCCCTGGAAAGGCCTCAATGATTTTTATGGCTGTGGAGCTGGGGGAAATCTCAAAAGTTTTCCCAGCATCCTCCATCTCTCCCCACCCAAACTCCCCCTGGCCTAGTTAAATCCATTTTGTGTTAAGGGCCTCCTTCCAGGAAAGCTTTCCTTGTTAGCTTTTGGAGTTCCCTCCAGGCCAAAGAGATGGATTTTACCAACCCTGGCAGGTACACAGGCTCTCAATCACTTTCTGTTGATAAGAAACTAGGCAAGAGAGTAACACTGTGAAGGTGAAGACGTCTTAAATATCAAATGTATTTCACAAACTCCACAATACCTTTAAGCAGATGCAAATGGGAAACCCAACAGTAAATTGATAGAACCTGAGCTTCTGATCACAGCTGCAACTGGAATTTCCCCCCATAATTTTTTATTATGGTAAAGTACTCATAACTAAATTTATCGTCTTAACTATTATTAAGTGTATAGTTCAGTGGTATTAAGGATACTCATAAGGATAGCCATCACTACCATCCATCTCCATAACCATTTTCATCTTGCAAAACTGGAATTGTGTCCTCATTAAACAATAATTCCCCACTTTCCCTTCCTCCTAGTTCCTGGCAACTACCATTCCAACTGATGTTTGCCAACAGGTGTGACCCACTCACAGATCTTAGGAAAAAAAGTAGATTTTTTTTTTCTTTTCTATTCATCAATTTAGTTTTCTGAAGGGACTAAAGTTGGGCTCAGACTCAAAGAGTCTTCTTTCCCTAGATGACCCAGTGGACTCATTATTTGCTCATTCCTTGTATGTCTCTGAACTCAATTTAAGATCTCGCAGCTGGACATGTCACTCTGCAGTTTGCTGCCAGTGCTCCTAAACCCTTTTTCCCAACAGACAGAAGAGGAAGAAGGTGAGAGGAGAGGACATGTCCAGAATCAGCTGAAAAGAGTTACGGAGAGGAAGGCTGCTGGCCAGCAGAAACTCAAGAAATGGGGAAGGCTCCCTGCAAACGGTGCTTTGGTTTCTGAATCCCATCAGCCTGCCTGATCCTTCCCGTCCTTCCCATACACTACTCTCTCTCATGGAAGCAATCAGAGCACATTGAAGGGGAAAATAACTGTGTGTCTCATGCATAACAGGCCGTCAACGAATATCTGCTGAACTGAACTGAATGGAATTCATTAATTGGCCACATCTCTACTTGCATGGATAAAATTAGAAAGATCCAGCTTCCTCACCTTGATACTAAATGGCATTTGACTATGATTGTCACTTTCAGAAAATCAGGTAGGATATTTTATCCTATAACAATTGTTACAACAGTGAGCACTTACAATGTGCCTGGCTCGTTGCTAAGTGCTTTATAGTCATTAGCTCATTTAAGCATCTCAGCTATTCCAACATTCCTACATAGGAATGGCATAAGTGAAAAGGAGTTATGGAATGGCTCATCATGAAGTTCATTTGCATAGGTACTTTTACATAAGATTGAGGAAATGTCAATCATTATATACCAAAGAATGGAGGTTTGCTGATTTAAAAAAAATTATATGTGGGACAAGACTTCTCCTGTCACCCTTGTTGTTACCATAAAGTAGATTTTATTGTTTCCATTGTATAGATGGAGAAACTGAGAATTTCGGAAATTGAAGAGCTTGCTTAAAACCACACAGCTAGTGCATGGTGGTACTGACCAGACCAAAGCCCAAGTCTATCTTCTTCTAAGCTGTAAATGTATAGTTGTTTAATCATATGTAGAGGAAGTCAAAGAAGTATACAGACCTAATCTGAAGAAATACTTCTTATTGTTAATATTGTTGTTTTGGAGATTACAGTCAGAAAAAAATGTAAAAATTTTTAAAAAGAGGTGAAATGAAGTGACTATCACTGACCAGCTTCTAAAGAAACTTTTATAGTATAGTATTCTCGTGGCACAGAGAAAAGGAAGTCCCATTCATGAAGTATATTCTACTGCTGAGAACTCAAAATGCCAATTGCACAAAGGCTACTTCTCTATGAAGAAAAAAAAATGCCTAGAGGGAAATATTCCAGGGGAAGGACAGTCCCTGACATGAACAATACCCACTGTTAGTCTGAGGAGGGAGACAGCACAGCATGAAGGCTGGATTCAGCCAGACCTGGCGTCAAGTCCTGGCTCTGTCACTTTTTAGTTGTGAGACTTTTGATCAGGTGTTTGGCCTCTCTGAGCCTCAACTTCCTCTCCTCTACAAATGAGCAAAATATTTTCTACTTTATAGGATTATTGTAGGGGTTAGTGAGATCATTCATTCATTCAGCAATGATTTGTTGAGCATCGGTAGGTGTCAGGTCCAAGACCTCTTACTGAAATAATGTATGTAAATAGCTTTCCTCTGTACCTACATTAACAGATACTTGTTAAGTAGTAGCTAGTATTGTTATGTATCCCCTTATTTAAAGAAAAGAAATACTGACAAATGCAATAAAACTGCATTGTATTTCATGGCTCATTACTGCATAGCTTTGGGTCAAATATATTACCAAAAGGCCAAGCATAATAAAATAAAATTTAGATACACATTTTGATTACTAAAGGGGATAGGATACTGTCCACACTCCGGCCAGGATGAGGGAGTAGAATGGGAAGAAGGAATCTGGCTGCTTCCTCAACACTTCCTGTTCTCCCTACAAGCAGGGGCCAGGATCGCCACTAATACCAACACTCCTCTTTGGTTCTGTGGTCTGCCAACGTGATGGAGGAGCTGGCTATAGGGCAGGGTCTGTCTGTGCTGGCTGCTTTCACAGCTGTACCAGAGGCAGGAGAAAGTGAAATTTGATAGGGGTGGATGCAAGACCTATACAACCAAAGTAAACACACCTCATCAGGCTGGTTCAGGTCCTTGAGGTGCAGATCTTGAATAAGATACTCCACGATGCGCACATGATTGCTCTGAGCAGCAAAGTGGAGGGCATTCATTCCATCCTGAAGAGAGCCAGGGGTGGGGGAGATACACAGTGACCTCAGAACTTCCTCTCTCTTGCAATGGTGAGGTAAGAGCTTTTGTCCAGGCGTGACCCACATACCTACCTGATTCTTGGCTCTCTGATCTGCTCCAGCTTTAACCAGCATGAGCATGACCTCAAGGCTCCCAGACCAGGCTGCAAGGTGAATTACTGTCAAGCCATGCTTCCCCAAGAAGACAGAAAAAGAGAATCTATCACTCTGATGAGCCACAGCATATACTGCCTCATCAACAAAGGCCAAATTAATACTAGATTGTTGAAAACTAAGAAATAGAGAATTTAATACGCAGCAAAAGTGATATTTCGGTTCTATGGGGAAAAAAGGGTATACTCAATAAGTGGTGCAGGCACAAGTGGTTCTCCATCTGGAAGAAAATGAAATGAAAAGCTGTATCATACCACACTCACAAAATAGCACACAAACAATAAACATATTAGAATAAAATCCAGACTATAATGTACAGTCTCTTAATTCAGAGTGAGAACAGACAGATAATAAACAAAGTCAATTAAAAATGACAGATTTTTTAAAAATGTATCTTTAATAAAGATAAATGGTTATTCTCTAATCCATGAAGCACACTTACCTATGGAGAAGAAAAAGACAAACTCAGAAAAATGGACAAAGAAAGGAAATGGAAATGATTATTGTTTAAGTATCTGGCAATATCTATTAGAATTGAAAATACAACCAGCAATCCCACTCCTGGGAATCTATCCCATAAAAATAAAAATGTCATTACCTAATGCTATATATATAAGGATATTAAGTGTAATACTAAAAACTGGGTACAAGGTAAAGGCCTATCAACATGGGAATGCTGAATAAGTTATGGAATAGTCAGACTACATAATGCAAGCATTAAAAATAATGAATTAGTGCTACAACAATTGACTTGGAAAGATTTCCATGAGTTTTGCTAAATATGGAAAATAAGATTGAGAATAAATATGATATAATCACATTTGTTAAAAAGGAGTGATTAAGAAAACCCCATACATGTATATGTACATATCTATATCCATCTATAGGTGCGTTGGTGGGTAGGTAGGTAGATTGATTAATATAGATATGTCTATGTGAGCAGGAGAAAAGTACAGAAATAAACATATATACCTCAGATTGTTAAGTATAGTTACCAGAGGAGGAGAGGGAACACACAGGTAAAAGAAACACAAGTTATAAAAAGCATCTCATTTATATAGATGCTACTTAAAATATTTTATTTATACAAAATTATTTCGATTTGTCTGTGTGCAAACACATGTGCACAAAGTTGTCAGACTGAAAGAGACCAGGATTTACTGACCCGTAGGGATGCTGTGGGCAGTTGTATGCTGACTTGTCTACCAAATAGCAGGGAGAAAAGTGTGGAAGGAAGCGTAGCCAGCAGTTAACATTGGCTATTTTAGGGAGGTGAGATTCGAAGGACATAAGCAAAAACATGCATCTGCACGCCAGGCCCTAAGTTAGAGAAGCAGCATAGGGCAGACACTATGAGCCTGATCTTCAGGATCAAGCAGAACTAATCTCAAATTCTGGTCACTTTCTATCACTTTCAACTATGGGGATCTTGGTGAACTTAATTCTAACTGTCAGCTTCAGCTTCCTTATCTGCAAACTCAAGTGTGCTTTTCTGTTTCCTTTAGCCCCACGAAAAAGTAATCCATTTCCTCAGTACAAGTGCCTGCCCAAAGTAAGCTCTCACACTACATTTTATTTCCCTCTTCTCATCAGTTGTGTTTGTGATCTGGAAACTGTTTGTCAGATGTACACAGTATGAGTAAATGCGTAAGGAATGAGGGCCTGCAGCACACTTCTACTTGTGAAGTGCATAAGCCTTTTGGCATTTATTTTGGCTGCCCCCAAGTTGCATTAATGTATTCTCTTATTCTCAGTAGAATTCACATTGGGAGAGTAAAACAGCAAGTCCCAAATTATTGAGGCATAACTCTAAACTGGTGATTCTCAACTGGGGGTGATTTTGCCCCCAGGAAACATTTGGAAAAATGTATGGAGACATTTTTTACTGTCATGCTGTGGGTGGGGGGAGGTTAATATTGGCACCTAGTAGATAGAGGCCAGGGATGCTGCTAAACATCCTGCAATACACAGGGCAGCCCCAACCACAAAAAACTATCTGGCCCCAAATATCAATAGCACCACTGTTGAGAAACCCTGCTCTTAATGTGCATATCCTATCAAATTTATATTTCAGCTGTCACTCTAGAGGGTGAGTTAGTCCATTTGTATGTTTACAATTCCAGCATGAAGAAGACTCTTCATTTCTGGACTCCTTGTCCCAAAGAGAAATGATGTACAATGACTGACTACTTGAGGTTCTTCAAAGCATGTTCCCTAAACACAATTCCACCTCTTAATTTGGACTTCCCTACAAGTCAATGCTCTATGTTTAGTAATACTAAATCTGCTTTCAAATATGAAAGAGACCAGAAGGCCAGGTGCAGTGGCTCATACCTGTAATCCCAGCACTTTGGGAGGCCGAGGCAGTCAGATGACCTGCGGTCAGGAGATCGAGACCAGCCTGACCAACATGGAGAAACCCTATCTCTACTAAAAATACAAAATTAGCTAGGCATGGTGGTGCATGCCTGTAATCCCAGCTACTCGGGAGGATCACTTGAACCTGGGAGGTGGAGGTTGCGGTAAGCCAAGATTGCACCATCGCACTCTAGCCTGAGCAACAGGAATGAAACTCCCTCTCAAAAAAAAAAAAAAAACCAGAAATATTTGAGACAGGTGACAAATCACTCTTTGATAGGAGATCTATTTTTTCCCTAAGAGGTAATTCCTAATTTCAAAGTAGCCAATATTTTAAAATTCCAAGCTCCGATCATAAAATCTAAAAGCTGGGAATTCAAGCTGCAAACAACCTAAGTCTCTAAAACCACAAATTCAGAATGGAGCCATTGTTCCTCAGAGGTAATGAATCACGGCTCACAGATGTAAACTCCCTGAGAAGAACCTCCATAAAACAAATTCTTCTGGTGTGAAACTGGCATGCCTGAGACTACTTAAGACCATGTGTCACAAATCACACTCACAGGTGGCTCATGAAGCTCTGTGAAGTGTACATTGCCCAACAGTCACTGACAACCTGTCCTCATTGCCAGTCTCGTCATAGGTGAGGTCAATAATTTCCTTTGGGGAACAATTCTATGTTAGGAGCTTCCCAGAGATAAGAAGCTCTGTGAGCAGATGTTTTTATCCTCTGAGCACCACTTGCACCCACCTGGGATTCTTTACTCCTGTCTGGAGTAAGACCCTCCATTTATCCAGTCTGCCTATTCCCAGGACTTGGGGGTGCTGCTCACTTTGGTCCCTAGCATGCAGTGCCTTGAATGGCACTCAGCTAGTACAGTCTCTGTCCTTGCTCCCCAGAGAGACTGTAGGCCCTGCAAAGCCATGACTCTATCTCATACCAGTGCTTCCCGAAAACAATCACCTGGGAATTTTTTTTTAATGCGGATTCTGATTCAGGCCTGGGGTGGGGCCTAAGATCTTGCATTTCTAACAAGCTTGCAGGTGATGTACATGCTTCAAGTCCTGGCACCACACTTTAAATAGCAAGGACTTCTGTCTAGTTGAATCCTCAGTAGTTGACACTGAGACATACGCACAACAGCCACTGAATAAATATTGAGGGTGAAGGGGATCAACTGTTAGCTCTTTGCAAATGGTGTTAGAACTTAGAAGAAGTCAAACTCAAGGCTCATCATTCAGATAAAGAAGCTGCCAGATTGGGTCAAAAGTGACCTTGCTTGAATTATGAAAAACATTTGACTAGTTATGGAGTAATGCCACTGTAGATGATTTAATCAGTTATAAACATATTTAACTTAGTGAAACCTTCAAAGCAGGAAAAAGAGACACATCAGGAATTATTCTATTTCCCACCTGACATTATTTCAATCTTCAAGCAAAGTTAAGAGAAACAGTCATGCTTCAGAGACAAGGTAATGCAAACATATGTTTAGAAAAACCTCAAGGAGAACAAGTTGGTGAAATATCTCTCCATCATTTCAGGAATAATTTGAAGGGGTGGCCTACCCCTCCACACCTGTGGGCGTTTCTTGTTAGGTGGAACGAGAGACTTGAGAAAAGAAATGAGACACAGAGACGAAGTATAGAGAAAGAAAAAGTGGGCCCAGAGGACCGGAGCTCAGCATACCGAGGACCCACGCTGGCACTGGTCTCTGAGTTTCCTTAGTATTTATTGATAATTATCTTTACCATCTTAAAGAAAAGGAAGTGGCAGGATAATAGGATCATTGTAGGGAGAAAGTCAGCAGTAAGACATATGAATAAAGATCTCTGTGACATTAATAAGTTTAAGGAAAAGTGCTGTGCCTTGATATGCATATGTAAACATCTCCATAAACCTTTTTAGTGCATAAAGAGCAGCATTGCGCTAGCAAGTCCCGCCTTTCGCCCTAAGGCAGTTTTCTCCTTTCTCAGGAAACAGAGCATACAATCGGGTTTTACACCGAGATGTTCCATTGCCCAGGGACGGGCAGGAGACAGATGCTTTTCTCTATCTCAACTGCCAACAACCGCCAAGAGGCCTTCTTTCCTCTAGTACTAGTCCTCCTCAGCACAGACCCTTCACGGGTGTCAGGCTGGGGGACGATCAGGTCTTTCCCTTCCCACGAGGCCATATTTCAGACCATCACATGGGGAGAAACCTTAGACAATACCTAGTTTTCCTAGGCAGAGGTCCCTGCGACCTTTGGCAGTGTACGTGTCCCTGGGTACTTGAGATTAAGAGAATGGTGATGACTTTGAACCAGCACGCTGCCTTCAGGCACTTGTTTAACAAAACACACCCTGCACAGCCCAAAATCCATTAAACCTTGAGTCACCACAGCACATGACTCTTGCAAGGACACGGTTGGGGGTAGGGTCACAGATTAACAGCATCTCAAATACAGAACAAAATGGAGTCTCTTATGTCTACTTCTTTCCATATAGACACAGTAACAGCCTGATCTTTCTTTCTTTTCCCCACATAATTGATTTGCACTCTGACACAAACCAGATCTATATTTAATATATTAGAAACATGGCAATCCTCAGATATGCTGTTTAAAAGAAAAGATGCAATCTAATCTGGCAATGGATACATAGATGTTCGCTGTATGATTCCCTCTACTTTGCTATAGTAAAGATTTGGGGTTATGGTTCTGGTTAAAACGAAGTAAGCACAGTCCACTCTGTCTCTCCCACCAAAACAAATAAAATCTCTGGAAAGAATGCATGGAACGTACACCTACTATATACCCACACACATTTTAAATTAAAAAGTAAAAACAAAGAATGCATGGAACAGCTGAGGACTCTGTAAATGGTATCAGGTGGATTTGGGGGAAAAAAATCAGAACTCAAAGTAAGGACAATCCTGCTGTGACTTTCCAGATTTTTCTTTTCCTCCCATACCTTCCAACTTGGACTTGAGGCAGTGCAAATCATGGAACTGTGCCCTGGGCACAGTCAGAAAGATTTCCAACAGAAACTCTCTCATTCTGGTCTAAGGAGGAGAAGGGAGCCCCTATAGAACCGAGAAGGCAGGGGAAATTCTCTGCTTCATTTTTCTCTACAGGCCCTGCCCCCTCCCCGCAAGCCAAGCCCCACTCCCAAAGCTACAACTTGACAGTGGTAAGGGTAGCAGCAGTGGCTGGGCAAGCACCTTAAAGTCCGACATAGGGGAATCTTTCTCTCTGGCCAGAGGAACTGTGGTCATAAAGCACGGTGGGGAAAGAATCCAAATGTTCTCTTGTTACCCTCCCCCACTTGGTCCTGGAGGCAGACCTATTTGTGGAAAGTACACAGCAGGGCTGGGAGACCACAGCCTTGGCTTTCCAGTCAGAGGACCAGGAAAAGAGGGTGGGGAGCTGGAAAATGTAGGGGAGTTGATCATGGAGAAGATGGAGCCTGAAAAAGGGATGGCATAAAGTTGTGTGCGTGCTCCTGGGCTCACCCCTGAGCTGTTTAATAAGCCTATTTAGTATCAGAGTTCATAGAGCAAAGTCAATATTTAATGTCTCTGGGGCCAGTTAGCTTCTGTCTTCCACATCCCAGATTCTACTCTGGACAATGATCTTGCTTTTACAAATGCATGCTATTGGTCATAAAGTCAATATGAGAAAATAAGCAAAAACCCAGGTTCCATAGGTAAAAGGGAAACAATTTAGTCCCCAAATACAAAGAGCACATATATGTACATTCTCTGAAGAGACGTTTCCAGAATAAACACTGCCAATTAAAATATTTTGTATCTATGTGAAGAAAAGATGTCTGGAGTGATCAGATTCTCCCTGTACATTGGTTATGCTCCAATTTGTTCTACTCAAGATGAGCTTACCTTATCAGCAACATCCACCCTGGCCTTGTGTTTAAGCAAGAAATCCACTGCAGATAAATGAAATGATTTCTCCCCACTGCAAAATGCAGGGCTGTGCGGTTCATCTGAGGAAGCATAATTTATGTTTTTAGTCACTGATCATTATTTAGTGCTTTTAGGTTTCCTGTTTCTTGAATGGCCATACTTTTCTATTAGGTGTTTCTATTTTGATTGTTTGGCTCCACTCTTTGCCTTTACCTTTGAAAGTTGTGAGAATTGTGTCCAGCCGAATTCTGCCTTCATTATGAGATAACAGCAGAGAATTTGGCAATCCATTGAAGGACACGCCTCAAGCTGAAATTCTTGTTTCAACTTATATTGTATTGTAGCATTATGTTGTGGCAATATAATGGGTTTTGTTTAGAAAGTAAAAGTTATAATTTCCCCCTTATATAATCATTAATAATGGTAAATTTTTCTGCTTAGAATATACTAATAATGCATAGCGGAAATTTTTCTAGGTATTCAATCCACTCATGTTCATTCTTCTCTAAGTTTTTGAACTGTAAACTTTACTGAAGCAAATAAATTCCTTCTGAAAGGAAGAAGGAAGGGAGGAAGGGATAAAAGAGCGAAGAAAAGAGGAAGGAAAGAAAGACAGAAAGACAGAGGAAAAGCTATGACCATCTTGCTCCAAAGGAAAGTCCATGTGGTGCTCCTGGGATACCCAGAGACAGTCTAATACATTTCAGACAATGAAAGTTTTGCTTGGAAGTGATATGAGTCATAATTCCCATATTCTAGACACTGTTTTTGCTCCCAAAGAAGATGTCTGGGCACGGCTTTACTATTCTTTGTTACACATAAATAAGAAAAAAAATGAGAACTGTTTAAATATTTGATTTTCTTGGTAGTGTCAACCTAAATAATAAGAGAGACTTTCAAAAGAAAAGATATTTATTTGGGAATAAAGCATTGCAACGGGAATATGCATGTCATAGTAAACTATGTGTGTATTTAGGGAAGTAAAAGAAGACAAAGGTTTTTAAAGGAAAAAAATGAGGAGGATTACATAACTGTTTTGAAATAATTATCCTTTGCTGCAAAGTTCAACAACAAGCTGACCCCAGTCTTAGATTAGACAGGCAGTTTCTGGGCAGATGTCCTTGCAGAAGTATTTTCTGTGTAAGGTTGTGATGGCCTTTGTGTGAGGTTGTGGGTTTTGCAGTCTTTTGTGATAGTTTTTGTTATCAAGTATACAAGCATGAGAACCCTGTCTTCATGGCCTTCCCCAGCTCTATTTGTCAAGGTTTTCTTAATATCGGTGACCCCATTTTGATTCTGAAAACTTTCACAATAGCTAAACCAGTGATAAAATAAGTTCGACAAAACATGAGTTATGGCTGGGCACGGTGGCTCATGCCTGTAATCCTAGCACTTTAGGAGGCCGAGGTGGGTAGATCACCTGAGGTCAGGAGTTCGAGACCAGCCTGGCCAACATGGTGAAACCCTGTAACTACTAAAAATACAAAAATTAGCCAGGCATGGTGGCGTGCGTCTGTAATCCCTGCTACTAAGGAGGCTGAGGCAGGAGAATTGCTTGAACTCAGGAGGTGGAGGTTGCAGTGAGCTGAGATTGCGCCACTGCACTCCAGCCTGGGCAAGAGCGCAAGTCTCCGTCTCAAAACAAAACAAAACAAAACAAAAAAACCCATGAGTTATTATGACTTTGTCTGAAATCTGGAGCTTTGCTCTACTATGTCAAATATGGGCTTATAAGCTCCACTATTAACTTTACTTGTGAATAAGGATGTAAGCCAAAATTTCACCCAAGATAATTCAATAAAATTACTTATATTTTAAAAAGCTCCATCGTCACTGGTTTTAAGGAACTCTCCAAGTAACCATGTCAACGATTTGCTGTAAACAGCAAACAGATGTCATGAGAAAGCATAATACAATTCATTAGGAATTTATAATAACTTGCCACGCTGTAAGTTAAAGTGTATTCGATTGTACTATCTCTCCAAGTACTTTAATATTAAAAAAAAGTTTAAAACAAAACAGAAAGTTGAATATGGAAAAATGTTAAATGGTTTAAACAGTATACTAGAGAATCTATTTCCTGCTACTTGGAAAAGTGATTATTGCTTCACTTACTCCCACAATTAACCTTTCATGGTCAAAATAATCTTCAAAGATACCTATCCATAAATATTTTTGAAACTATGCAAATATCCCCTTCAAAGAGACTTGCTTACTTCTTTTCTTTTCCTTCCTTTCCATCTTTTTTCCTTTCTGCCTTTCCTTCCTTTCTTGATTCCTTTTTTTTCTTTTTGTCCCTAAAATTGTTATGCTACAAAATTTTGCTGCTTTCCTATTCTAGGATATCTATGGAACATGAACACTATATACACTCATAACACATCACACACACACATTATACACATAGACATATCAATCCCCACACTTATCCCCACACATAAGCACAAAGGCTCCCGACACACATGCACAACATCTTCCACTGCATCTGGTACATGATTTCAGATTCTGCAGCTTCAGTTTCTAGGACCTTACTGCCTGCGATAAGATATAGGTTTTGTGAAACCTGAGTTTAGACTATTTAGGGAGTCTTCTTTAAAGCCAGAGTCAGAAAGCTTAAATAATTGCAGTTAAAATGCCTTATAATTTTTCAGATTTTACAAAATCATATAGTCATAGGAATATATTACCAGAGCCCTCTCAGTGCCTTACAAGGGGCCTGTACAAGCAAGGGCCCTGAAGCTTATGCTTCATTTACCATTAAATAGTAAATCATTTACCATTAAATTTACCATTAAATACAATTACCCACCACCCAGGTGGGTGCCACACCCACCTGGAACCACTCCCCACAAATTGTCCTAAGCAATTGACACAGCCTCCAACCTTCACTTTGATAAACCTGGCCTCAAAGGACTATCAGGAAATCCTCACAAAAGCAAGCAGTAGAGAATCCAAATTTATGGCAGTGGACTTTCCCTCTGCTAAAACCCAGGGACTTAAAGAACAAGTAAGAGCCAGGTTTTAGATAAGGCCTCATTGCCCAAGAGGCAGACACACTACATTTCAAAACCAGTACAATGAAAATCTACATGCCTCTTTAGATTTTTAAATTTGTAAAAACAGAACCACACAGGACATCATTGGCAAGAAAACAACCCAGACTGTGTAGCAAAAAATGTTCTGCCTTTCCAGAATGTGTGAGGCCAAGCTGATCCACAGGCGACAATCCAGGACCAGGTCCAGGCCTATAACCCCGACAGCTGGCTTTACCTATAACCCCAACAGCTGGCTTTACTGCCCACCCACAGACTTTGAATAGATATGCATGAAGATTCGGTGCACTGCCCTTCTTGGAAGAGGAATTAAAACGCACAGAGCCTCTTCCACTGTTTGACTCCACCTTTTAGCTTAAACACCCCGAGATTACCAACAAAGGAGCGCTCCCTTATCTCAGCCAGCACCATGATTTTTACTTTTATTATTATTTCAGATGTCCTGTGTAAACCCAAGCCATTACTGGAGTAGTCACTTGTCATATTTATGACTTCTACTCACATTGTTCACAGCATTAATGTTAACCTTGTTTTCAGACAGCTTCTCCATAAGATCCAAATTATTGCTTTTAGCAGCATTCTGAAAGCTTCTCTCCTTTGGCAGTACTGAAAGAAAGCAAGGCAAGCATGAACTAAGGGAATTTAAGGAGGCCAAAGAGAAAGCATATTTCATAGGGCAAACCTTGTAACAACAGCCTTGAAACGAAACAACAGCCTTGAGTCTTTCACATTTCGCTATTTTTATTTAGGACACAGAAACTTTGCTTCAATATCTTATAAAACTGTAGTATCAAGATTCAATTTTTCTCCTCATGCTGCAAGGGTTTTCACACCCTTAAAAGTGTTCCTGGCCCCAAACAAAACATTATTCATGAGGACCACCCTGAAGTCAGTAATGTGGTATCTGGCTTAGAAGGTCAGAAGGCGGTAGACTTCCCAGGGGATATTGTTTGTAAAAAACCTTGTACAAGATTAGGCAGGGAGGAGTCCAAATGCTCCTACAGCTTACAGAGATAAAACTGTTGTCTTCAGAACTCTATACAGACGCCAGGCCTGCACGAAGAAAATTTCAAAATGCAGCCCATCACACATACAGACACAAAGGTAAAGGGGATGAAAATGTTTTATTCTCATTGATATAAACACACGGAGAAGTAGATTGACATCTATTATAAATGTCATATTTCACATACATATACACATTCATATGGTAGGCTTTATTAACTGTCATAGAGAAGATTCCAGGGTTTATTGAGTTTTTTTGTTATGTAGGGGAGTAGAGGGCTCTCAGAGGACAGCCCAACACGAAGGGATAAGACCAGAATTGAGGTTAAGTAGGAGTCAATAACAGACCATCTCCAAACAGAAAGGACCTGTAAGAGAGGTTTCTGTATGTGTGTTGCTGAATAGTTTCCTAAGCGTTTGCTTGTTTTTAAATGATACTATCATGACATTCAATGTTCCCCAAGTTTTTGCCGAAGCAAAGACCCTTAAGGATACTGCCAAGTCCAATCAAGGACCAACCAAGGAGTATCTTCTTGGGAAATATTGTTATGGGCTGAATTGTGTCTCTCCAAAATTTGTATGTTGAACTCCTAACCCCAAGTACCTCAGAATGTTGACTATGTTTGGAGATAGGGCCTTTAAAGAGGTAATGAAGGTAAAATGAAGTCATATGAATGGGCTCCAATCTGATATGATTAGTGTCCCTAAAAGAAGAGAGATTACGACGGACACACATACACACACACACACACACACACACATACACACACGGAAAACCAGGTGAAGGCAGGGAGAAGGTGACCATCTATAAGCCAAGGAAAGAGGCCTAAGAAGAATTCAACTTTTCCAACATCTTGATGTTGCGCTTGTAGCCTCTAGAGCTGTGAGAAAATAAGCATCTGTGGTTTGAGCCATCCAGTCTGCTGTACTTTGTCATGGCAGCCTGAGCAGACTCATACAGATTCACATGTTCATTCTTTCTGTTACCTGGATCCTTCTCTTCCTTCCTACCCCTACTCTTGTCACCATTCTAGGTGACTTCAACCTCCTCACAGATGATTAATCCAACACCTTGGCCTCTTAGTTCCCTCTAATAATCTTCCGCAGATCTGACCTCAGTCATCAAATTTCAGAGACACATTCCTGAATTCATTATCACTCAAACTGCACTACCTCTGAAATCTTGACTTCCAGAATCCTATTCTTTGACCACAACTTCTCATCCATTCAGCTCAGCTGCTCTAGTTCTCCAAGTCCAGAAATTCTGCAACCTTATGAAGTCCTCCAGTCCACAGTTCTAACCCTTTTTCATATTCTTCATTTCTGTGCCCTTACTTCCCTCCTTACCATGTTTAGATTCCATGGTGCCAGTTTGTTTTTGCTGCTGTAACAAACTACCTGACACTGAGTAATTTTTTAAAAAACAGAAATGTATTTCACACATTCAGACCATAGCATATGGTCCACCTATGAAATCACTTCTATGCAAACACCTCCCTCACCATTCTTTTCCTCCATTAGACTAGTTGGTCAGAATCCTAATTCTGAGATTAAATCCAACTGCTACTTGCTTTGTTTCTGTACCTGAACAGCTAAACGGTACTGGAGAAAAACACACAACCATGCTGTGGTAAACATTGCTAGTGTTCATCAATATCTGCTTTTTCTCTTCTACCTGGTCACATGTGTAAGCCCATATCCCAGCCTGGATACAGCTAGATGAGGTGTATCCAATGGATTGAAAGCAGAAGTGATGGCATGTCACTTTGGGGCTGAGTCAGTGAAAAGCCTGTGTCACCCTCTAGGTCTCTTTTCCCTGCCTTATCAACACTGGAAGCCATGTGTTTAAATGAAGGGGTCACAAGATGGTGGTACCTCCATCAACTTGGTATTGGGAGATAATTCTCTCTGGGTCTCTCACATTTCTGCACATCTTACAAGCAAAAGCATTGACTGGCTTTGCTCTTTACTATCTTTTCAAGGATGTTTGTATAGTGAAAAGCCTTGACAAATAGAGATTTTTTTCCTCTGGAGCAAAGGGCAGGTTTGCTTGCAGCCTTGGAAGAAAGCAATGGTAAGGCATGCTTACTGACTATTACAAACAATTTGGGTTCCCTAAGTGCAGGATTTTTCTGTAACACAACCCACTGTGTGTGCAGGTGTCATTTGGCATCTCTATATCTCCCTGGGGGAATTGGGGCTTGGAGAACTGACACAAATGCTAACACTCTGGCTACTGCTACTGCTGTGAGTAATGAAATCCATCATCTCTGATCCAAAAGTGTCTTCTGCCAGCATCTCTATCACCTAGTAAGCTAACTTGTGAGATTATAAGTAGGGTAAAATCTCAACCCCTTTATGGTCCTTGACACCTGGGTTCCTGAGAGACCCTCGCCAACCTATTTTGGACATGCTACACGAGCAAGAAATAGATTTTTCTTTTAAAGATGGAGTCTTGTTACGTTTTCCAGGCTGGTCTTGAACTCCTGTCCTCAAGTGATCCTCTCACCTGGGCCTCCCAAAATGCTGGGATTATAGGTGTGAGCCACCACACCCAGCCAGAAATAGATTGTTTTTATGTCCAGTCACTCAGACGTAGGAGTCATTTATTGCTGCAGGAAAAGCTTACTTTGTCCTGATTGATACACATGCTAACAGGTCTCTTAAATTCTTCCCCACTAATCTCAGCACGACTAGCTAGCCTCTACATTTCCCTAGTCTTCCCTTCTTCAATGTGTCATATCCTTTCCTTTCTCCTCAAATATCTGAATTTACTAATCTACCTAATTTACTTCCTCCCACTACCATCACCTAATTCTCAGTCAATACCGTTGCCTCATAGTGAAAACAGAAGTAGTAGGACACGAATTCCCACATCTTCCCACCTAGGTGAATCTACCAACCTATCTTCATTTGTATATACAGGATGAAGCATCCCTGTACCTAGGAAAGGCCAACCTCTACACCTGGGCTCTGGATCCCATCCCCTTTTTATCTTTTCAAGTGTTTCATATGTCAGTCTCTTGAAAATTATGTCTTCTTTCCTCTAGATCACTTAATCTCTCTCCAGTGGATGACTATTATCTTATTTTCCTTCAAAAAATACGGAGATGCCATAATACCCTAAGTGTAAAAAACCCTCCTTTGACCCCAGCTTCCTTTCCAACTGCTGCTGCATTTTTCAACTTTCCATTACCCCAAACTTAAGTATTCTATAATTGCTGTCTCCATTTCTTCATCTCAGTCTTGTCTCAACCCATGCTAATCAGACATCTTTCCCACTCCTCTACTGAAACTGCTCTTGTTGAGGTCACTCCGTCTTGCCAAAACCCAGTCATTATACCCTGTCAAGTCCATTGAGCTCTTGGCAACTGTGACACAGAGGAACACACACCCCTTGTAACATGTTCTTCTCTAGAGGTCTGGTAAGCCAACTGTTGCTTTCTAGTCTTTTCTACCGGCTCTTTTTCCTTTGCTTGATCTCCAACTATTGGAATGCCCCAGGGTTTATATAAAACAAATAACCTGTTGATGTAGGCATGATTCCTCCATCTTACAGATGAGGAAACTGAGATTTTCAAAAGTTATACCACTTGTTCATGCTTTATAAGTGATAGAATTGTCCTAGGCAGCCTGACTCCAACCACATCACCCTGTCTCATGGCCTTCACTGCACTTACCTTAAATTATCTTATTCATTTATTTGCTTACTTATTTTATTGTCTATCACCCCTCTACCACAACAGAATGTTCCACCAGAATAGGGGTTGTCTTGTTCTCTCCATCCCTACATCTAGAACATGCCTAGAAAATAGTTAAGCCCTTGAAAATATTTCCAGAATGACTGAATGAACACTATATTGAGGAACTGGTGTACAGCTTCCAAGCCTAATTTAGGAAATAAGGCCGTCCTAGCCAGTAGACTTGGATGGTGTGCCCCGTTAAGAGACTTGAGTACTGGGCCGGGCGCGGTGGCTCAAGCCTGTAATCCCAGCACTTTGGGAGGCCGAGACGGGTGGATCACGACACGAGGTCAGGAGATCGACACCATCCTGGCTAACACGGTGAAACCCCGTCTCTACTAAAAAATACAAAAAATTAGCCGGGCGAGTGGCGAGCGCCTGTAGTCCCAGCTACTCAGGAGGCTGAGGCAGGAGAATGGCCTAAACCCGGGAGGCGGAGCTTGCGGTGAGCTGAGATCCGGCCACTGCACTGCAGCCTGGGGACAGAGTGAGACTTCGTCTCAAAAAAAAAAAAAAAAAAAAAAAGAGAGACTTGAGTACTGGGAAGGCTGAGGTGGGAGGATCACCTGAGCCTGAGGAGGTCTGTGATTGCACTACTACATTCCAGCCTGTGCAACAGAGCAACAAGACCCTGCTTGCGGGGGGGCCGGGGTCGGAGGCGGGTGGGGAGTGGAGGGTGCCGGGGAGAGACTTGACTCGCTTTCAGCTTTTGGACTGCTTAACAGCTGCCTTAGTTTATACTGCACATTATTCCCAAGGCATAGATGATCCACTCCATGCTTTAAAACTTAAGTGCAGAAAGATAAGTGATTTATTTAAAGTCAGACAATAAATCGGCGCATGAGTCACGATATAGGAGATAAGAGCACATGAAACTCTTATTTGCAAAAGGACTTAATCATTATTTTAAAAAGCCTCCTCCTTAATTCGGAAGAATAATACTGTCCTTCCACCCACAGTACATGGTGGGGGTGGATTCCAAAGCCGAAAACCAGCCAACAAGGGGTGCAGCGGTGGAGGCTGGGACTCGGGGTCCCAGGGCGGAGTCGCCGCGCCAGTTTCACTCCCGCAGCTTCCGGAGGCGCTGCACTGGGTACCTTTTTAAGTCCCTTCGACCCAGCCCGCCCCGCAACCTGATTTTCTGAGACCTCGTTTCCGGGACTCACGGAGCTCGTGTCCGGCAACTGTCGTGTCCTCCTCTCCAAGCCCCTTCCGCTTCGGGATCCGGGACAGGGCCCTCCAAGGCAGGGCGTCCGCGCCCCTCAGGTCCTCCTTGAGACCCTTGGCGGCAGCAGCCGCCCCGAGCAGCAGCCCCCCTACCGTGGCCCCATGGCCCCGGGCGCGCCCGGCGAGGTCCATGGTCGCCTCCGCGGACCCGGAGCGCAGGGCCAGACCCAGACCCAGATCCAGACAGAACCAGGGTGCGAGGCTGGACGCTGGCAGGTCAGCCCCGCCGGAGCGCAGACCGCTCTCTGTTGTGGCGGTTCGCTGGGCAACAAGCCCCTGGTTTTCCAGCCCTGCCCTGACTTGGGCCGGCCTGGGAGAATCCGCCCTCAGGTGTGGCGTGCACTGTGCTTAAGGTTTGGTTCTCCGGGAAATAAAACATCCTGCGAAATCTACAAGCCCCAGTGAACTCCCACTTCTACTCTACCACTTCTTTGTACAATATTAAGAAATGTCAAGGTTGAATTTATAACCAACACTATAGGAACTTCAATATTAAATGATTTCTAAATGGGCTTCCAACATTTTCTTTTGAATAAAGAAAGACTTGATTTCTCATTTGAAGACCACGCAATTATAATCTCTCCTGGCGGATTCTTTTGAAAAGTGAAATAATGCAGAAGCAAGTCAAATTCTGACCCCCCAAATAAACTTCAAATAAGAAAGGTAATCAGGTTTTCATTTATTTTTTATTCTTCTTACAAATTTACAAAAGATGTATCATTTTAATGTAAATTATGTAATATCAATTTCATTTCAAACTTGTCAGCTTTTTCCTTCAAATTATTGTGCACCCAATTTGAGGCATTGAATTCAAAACAATGTTTCCTTGTCAATGAAAACAAATGACAAAATATTATTTATCAGAACACCACCCGTAACCTCAAACTTTCCTTTTTTAAAAAAGGGAAATGGGCCTCATGTTTGTAATAGGGATATGATAAAAACAACAGCAGATAAATTGAATTGAGTATTATGCAGAAATATCAGACAATGTACTAATATGGAAAGTATAATATGTAAATGGAAAAACAGGGCACAAATTATATGTGTATGTAGCATGTTTACAAGTAAAATTCTAAAAATCAGAAGAAAATACCCACACAAAAGAAGGAATAATAGTGAAAACAGCAGCAGATCAATGGAAAGCATACAGTCAAGTACAGAAAGATCTCCCAATCTGGGCAACAAAGTGAGAACCCCTCTCTACAAAAATTAGCCAGGCATGTGGTGCATGCCTGTAGTCCCAGCTACTTGCGAGGCTGAGGTGGGAGGATGGCCTGGGAGGCAGAGGTTGCAATGAGCCAAGATTGTGCCACTGTGTGCCAGTCTGTGTGACAGAGCCAGACCCTATCTCAAAAAATAAATAAAATAATAATAATAATAAGAAGAAAAAGATCTGAATTGTGTTATCCAAGTTTGAAACTGCTTTCAAATTCTAAACCAAGAGATTGACTTTTTAAAAAATCTTATCGATGACCGGAGAAAATGCATCATCATTTTATGCTATATAGCCTTACAATAAATAGTATGTGGTACTGTGGCCGGGCGCGGTGGCTCAAGCCTGTAATCCCAGCACTTTGGGAGGCCGAGACGGGCGGATCACGAGGTCAGGAGATCGAGACCATCCTGGCTAGCACGGTGAAACCCCGTCCCTACTAAAAAATACAAAAAACTAGCCGGGCGAGGTGGCGGGCGCCTGTAGTCCCAGCTACTCCGGAGGCTGAGGCAGGAGAATGGCGTAAACCCGGGAGGTGGAGCTTGCAGTGAGCTGAGATCCGGCCACTGCACTCCAGCCTGGGCGACAGAGACTCCGTCTCACAAAAAAAAAAAAAAAAAAAAAAAAAAAAGTATGTGGTACTTATCTTACTCTACCAGATGAGACAAAAACTCCAAAGCAGTGCATTATGTGAAACTCAGCCATAGCTGGACTTTACTTCCCTGAGAGCTTGGGCTAAATGAGAAGTTATGAAGTATACTGTGGGAGGTATTTTCTTTTTCACTCTGTTTCAAATATCAGGTTACTTCTCAAGCAGAATATTAATTCTAACTGTGCTAATACATAAAAGCTTGCCCACATGATCTGGCCCTACTCATCTCTCTAATCTTGGGCCCTACAATTCTTCTCCATTCTTCATCCAGTGTTTCCTGGTGGAGAGCCATCCAGCTTTTATTTCCTCCCTTTGCCTAGAACCTCTCTCCCCCACCTCCACTTCCGAATTTTTTAAATAGTTTTGATTCTTTGTATCAGTAAGGTTTCAGGTTAAATGTCACTTCCTCAGAGGAGCCTTCTCGGATCATCTTATTCTAAAAGTGTCCCCTACCTTCATGTTCCATTCTCTTATGCTGTTTCACTTTCCTTTGTAGCACTTACCATTGAAATGTCTGTATTTGTTTAGTGTCTGTTTCCACAACCAGAAGGTAAACTTCATGAATACAGTGATTTTTAAAAGTCTGTTGGGCCAGGCGTGGTGGCCCATGCCTATAATCCCAGCAATTTGAGAGGCTGAAGTGGAGGATGGCTTGAGGCCAGGAGTTTGAGGCCAACCTGGACAACTTAGTGAGACTCCAGTCTCCACAAATAATTTAAAAATTAGCTGCTGCTGGTGGTGCACACCTGTAGTCTTAGCTACTTGGGAAGCTGAGATGGGAGTATAGCCTGAGCCAAGGAGGTCAAGGCTGCAGCAAGCTGTTATCATGTCACTGTATTCCAACCTGTGTGACAGAGCAAGACTGTCTCAAAAAAAAAAAAAAAAAAAAAAAAAAAAGTTTCCTACTGCATCTCCAACAGCTACCCAACCTGCAATAAGTATTTGTCAAATAAATATGGAACGCAATTTAGCCATGTGAGCAGTAACTTGTCTTTGAGTCCTGAAAGCTTTAGTTTTTTCCCTAAAGGAAGGTCTAGACTAAAAAAAATGTTCAATTCTGAAGTAAACCTTTAAAACCAGATCCTGTTCAAGGATTCCATATTTTTAAAAACATCTTCCTAGATTTCTCTTTGCCCTCCTCTACCAGATGATTTCTCCCTAGACTCCCACTTTGTATATTCACCTATTATAGCCCTCCCTACATTGAATAGAAACTGTCCCTGGAGTGGCTGTCCATTTTTTGAGGACAAACATGTCTTAATAATCTTTATGTCCTTTATCCGCTAGGATTCAGCTATAATTAATAGGAAAATCCAAGTAACTATGGCTTAAACAGTTTTTTTATTTGCTTCTTGTGAAAGTCTCAAAGTGTGCAGGCCAGTGCTGATATGTCTCTGTTTTACAACGCCCCCAGGAATCAGCCTCTGCAGCCCACTACTCCACCATCCCCATGTGCAGCCCTTATGTTTAGGTGTAAACGGCAGCATCTGCTTCCAGGCAGCAGGATGGAACAGAGAAATAGAAAGAAGAGGCAAAGAGAATGCTACAGCTGCAAGAAGGGAAGTTTCCCAAAAGCAACCACACATAGTACTTCCTTTTTTTTTTTTTTTTTTTTTGAGACAAGGTCTCGTCTAGCTTTGTCACCCAGGTTGGAGTACAGTGGTGCAATCTCAGCTCACTGCAACCTCCGCCTCCCGGGTTCAAGCGATTGTTTTGCCTCAGCCTCCTGAGTAGCTGGGATCACAAGCGTGCCACCATGCCCAGCTACTTTTTGTATTTTTAGTAGAGACGGGGTTTTACCATCTTGGCCAGGCTGGTCTGGAACTCCTGACCTCAGGTGATCCACGTGTCTCAGCTTCCCAAAGTGCTGAGATTACAGGTGTGAGACACCGCACCCAGCCAGTACTTCCTTTTATATTAGTCAAAACTCAGTCACATGGCTACCCCTAGCCGGGAGGGTGTGAGCTGCAAGGATGGGAGATATATTGTAGTCATCAATTCTGTAACCTCTATTTTTCACACTATCACATATTTTTAATTGAGATACTAAATTGTCCGCCTGAATTGAAGTTGAGTTATTCCAGAAAGGATTTGCATATGCTTCCGCCAGTCACTAGGGACAATACTAACCTCACTTTAATTACATTTTCTGCTTGAGCTCTTCAGGATGATACCATTTGTGTGAATTCAGATTACAAGCCTACATGTGTGCTGGTTTGTGATTCAAATTCTCACTGGCAGTCCCTCCTTCCAACCAGTGCCAAGGTTGAGCAGGCAAGTTGCTTTGCTCCCTCTTTCTTCATGGAGGATTTCTCCTTTATCCTTGCTCTGAAGGTATAAACCCTGGTGTCCCATATTTATGCACTGGTAACCTATTAGACTCCCTATCTTAGGTATTATTTCTTAGTGGTTTATAAAGAATTGATGAAATATAGTAGTCTATTCTGGGTGATCATGTGCCAAACTAAAATTCTAATAATATGGCAGAAAAGTAGAATGTTGAAGGACAACCAGGATCTCTGCCCAGAATTGCTAGCAAAACCCAAAAAACCTTGGCATATCTCACACTTGTGGATGGTTTCAGAGATCACATTTGATGTTTAGCATATTCTAAGAGGAAAAAACTTTTGAGCCTTCATAAAAGAGAACTAGATTTTATTCTAGAGCTGACCCAACCTTTTTTTTTCTTTTTGTCTCTCTCTCTCACTCTCTCCACAGACACCCAAGAACATGAGTGATATTAGGAAAGTATTGTATATAAAAATGCACAAGATGATCTAGAGCAGGGAAAGCAACTGGTGAAAGCTAAGCAATGAGTTAGACAGCTAGATATTAGACAACTGATAAGAACCTGATAAAAGACATGGAAAGAAGTGTTTTCAAAGAGGCCCAACAAGAGTAGACGGAACTCAATGATAGGTATGTGGTTGGCAGAGGTTGTGTGCATGTGTGCGTGTGTGTGTGTGTGTGTATACAAGAAAGAGTCCTCTACACTTTAGCGACAGGTTAGAAGGGTTAGTACCATTTGTCTCTGAATTATCTTTAATTTCCCTGAGCATTCTGTAGACAGCAGCAGTTACAAAGTAACACTATCACAATTGCCTCATACTGGTAAGGGGAACAGTTCAATATTATGGTTTGCTTAATAAATGGAATCATGTTTCCAATAGTCACCATAATGTCATTGGAGTTTTTCTTAACAACCTAATTCAGTTATGTATTACAAAGCAAAAGCGATTAGTCCTTAATTATACAATGAAAAAACAGTTTTTTCTCCAGGGAAATAAACATCACCTCTCTGTGAAGTTTACTAAAATCCTAGCAACACAAAGTGTGTTCAAATATATCACTGCTTTTCAAAATGGAACATTACATCAAAGAAAATTCAGTACCAGGGCCACGCATGGTGGCTCAGAGCTTTGGGAGGCTGAGGAAGGAGGACTGCTTGAAGCCAGGAGTTCAAGACCAATCTAGGCCACATAGCAAGATCCTATCTCAACAAAAATTACAAAAACTTAGCTGGGCATCATGGCACCAGCCTGTAGTCCCAGCTACTCAGGAAGCTGAGATGAGAGGATCTCAAGCCCGAGAGTTCCAGGCTGCAGTGAGTTATGATCAAGACACTGCATTCCAGCCTGGGTGACGATCAGACCTTGTCTCTAAAAACAACAGTTCAGCACCAGGTACACCAGGTATGATTTTTTAAATGAAATATTTCCTCAAAAAACAGTTTTATTAGCCCCAGGTTAATAGTCGTATTTTAAGTCTTCTTGCAAATACTTCCAAGCCACTCCAAAAGGACACAGTATAATAATAAAACATGTATAAAGCAAGCCACTATCTAATAAAGGGAAATAAATACAATTGTCTCTTTCTGGAACGCCCACTCTTTAGGACCTAGTGTGAGTGCAGCCACTTAGCCACCATTCTGTCTTCCCAGAGAAAAACAGTAAGATAGTAGTAAACACTCTTGGACACATACTATATATTCATTTACATGTCAACAAATGACTCTCCGTATCTACTGTGTGCCAGGCCATACACTTCATACTTGGAATTCAGAGATAAGTGAAAGCCCAGGATCTCTTGGGGCCTACAATCTGGTAGGGAGAAACCAACATCGGGGGCCATGCAAAGAATGTTTCAGGATCTTTGTAGAGAAACAGCAGCACAAAATAGTGACTGATCAGTTTTTCCAGAGGGCAAGGAACCGTTTTCTGAAGGTGGCCCCTGAGCTGAGTTGAAAGACGAGTGACTATGTAGGTGGGAGATAGAAAAGGGGCATTCAGGAAGCATATTCTGGACAGAGGGAGCAATGGAGCACAGATGGCAGAAAGGAGAAACAGCTTGGTCTGTTCAGGAAACCCTGAATGCCAAGCCAGTGTTTAGAGTGCATCATGGACAGTGATATATAGGAGCTGGCTTGTACTGGCTTGCAAGAGCTGTTAAAGTTTCAGGAATTTTGTGAACTGGTTGACATCACATAACTTGAAATCTGTCATGGTGGGAGTATTTACACCACAGAAATAATCATACACTAAAAATCACTCCCGTTTCCTACTCATTCCACTGCTAATCTTGGAGACAGTTGAGAGCTTTTGAAAATTGCTTTGTTTTTTTGACATGAGAGTGCTATTATGGGAACGCTGTTTATGGCTAATCTGTAAAAAAAAGCTTGAGATGGTTTAGAGCAAGGAAAACTGATACATCAGTTGGAAAGTCAGAGTTTAGACAACTGATAAGGGCTTGACAAAAGAGATAGAAAGAAATGGATATTTTCAAGAGGCCCCACAAGAGTAGACAGAATTCAGTAACAGATATAGGGTTGGCAGAGGTAGCAGTGGATACAGGGGGGATGAGTTAAAAGGTAAGGAGTAGTAAATAAACACGTTTGTTAATGAGGGCAGAAAAAAATCTCCTATTAACTGCTACATCTCTCTTGCCTTTAACTTACAGCCTTCTTACATAAATGCCTGTAACCACTGTCTACATTTTCTTAGCACAAAGTTCCTTCTTAAATTCTGTTATATGGCTTCCATTACCCACGGTGATGCTGAAACTTCTTCCTCTAGAAGGTCACTTCTTCAGTGGGGACATTGACCTTGCGGATACTGCAATTCCCATGCTAACTTTAAAATAAAGCACTTCTGGGGGAGTGAATTAATTTATAAATACTTCTTATAATGTTACTTTTCCTACTATCACATAAGATTGAGGAAAGGTATATAGCTCTATATTACAGGGCCAATGTAAAGACTGATATTAAAAAAGAGACCTTGGAACTACATTGAAGAGAGGATTATACACATGCAAAGAAATTATGTCATTTGTTGTTTTATATGCTAATATGCATACATTCCAAATGCATAGCCCATCCTCCTTGAGACCTCCTAAACATGTTATGAATTTGAAGTGTCTCTGCATTATTCAAGTGAGGCAGGAAAAAGTTACTCTAAGTGATCTTTCTTTTTTATATTTTATTTGAATACAATTCTAATAATTCAACATTTATGCAGTAAAGGGTTAACCCAGCAGCCTCAGGTTACTCAAGCCCTGCACTTTTCAAAGAGAGGTGTCTTCAGGTACTGGCCCTTCCTTAACTAGCTCCTGGGAAATGACCTGAGCCCTTGGAATTTCCAGTTTGATAATAGCGTTCTAGTATGCCTGAGGCCTTGGGCTGCATTTTGTTAGTTTGATGAGATAGTTTATGCTAACAGTATGACTCATGGTGAATGTCTGTTTTTGAATGGCTGAAGCCCTGGGCCATGAGGTATCACTACACCTCTGGGGTCTTGAGACTTAATAGGTAAGGTCAGTCACATGTGTGATGCGTGTCTGTGTGACTGACTTCCAGTAAAAACCTTGGACACCAAGGATTGGTTGAGCTTCCCTGGTTGGCAATATTTTACACATGCTGTCACACATTTCTGGGAGAATTAAGCATGTCCCCATGTGACTCAACAAGGAAGAGGCACCAGGAAACTTGTGACTGAACTGATAAAGAAATAGGGTACTGCAAATAACAAAGCCTAATATAACGAATTGACTTAGGGTTGGGGAGAAGAGTTCAGGGAGTCGGGACACAAATATCACAGACTGGAAAACTGGTGACTTGTTTGGTGGTGTATTAGGGTTCTCTAGAGGGGCAGAACTAATAAGACAGATGTATATATGAAGGGGAGTTTCTTAGGAAAATTGACTCACACAATCACAAGGTGAAGTCCCATACAGGCTGTCTGCAAGCTGAGGAGCCAGGAAGCCAGTCTGAGTTCCAAAACTTCAAAAGTAGAGAAGCAGACAGTGCAGCCCTTCAGTCTGTGGCTGAAGGCCTCATAGTCCCTGGCAAGTCCAAGAGTCCAAAAGCTGAAGAACTTGGAGTGTGATGTTCCAGGGCAGAAAACATGCAGCACAGGAGAAAGATGGAGGCCAGAAGACTTAGCCAGTGTAGTCCTTCCACGTTCCTCTGCCTGCTTTTATCCTAGGTATGCTGGCAGCTGATCAGATGAGTGCCCAACTGGACTGAGGGTGGATCTGCCTCTTGAGCCCACCGACTCAAATGTTAATCTTCTTTGGCAATACCCTCATAGACACACCCAGGAACAATATTTTGCATTATTTAATCCAATCAAGTTGACACTCAATATTAACCATCACAAGCGGTAACAAAATATTTGGTCAAACTGTCTACAGCTGTCTTTGGAAAGAAGACCAAATGCTGATTGAGGCGGTAGCCTTAGGGGAAATGCTAGGAGAAAAATTAAAAATTTGGCATGGGATGGCTCTTTCTTGCTGTGTTCAGCAAGGTCCTGGAAGAAAGAAATGTATTTTTTTCTCGACTGAAACTAGCTTGCAGAGATGGAGGAAAATATCATCTTGTTAATGAAAACACTTGTTTTTCTTTACAGTTTTATCACCCTTAAAACAATATAGTTGTTCAGTTTTTACTGTTTTAAACTTTATACAAATGGAATCATGTTGATGGCATCCCTCTGTGCTTCGCTTCTTTTGCTCTATGCTATGTCTGTGATATTCATCCATGTTGTGGTTAGCTATTTCCTTCATTTTCACCATTGTGTAGAATTCTATTGTTTCAACACAAATGCCATGGTAGAATTTAACCATTCTACCATTGCTGAATAATTGGTTCATTTCTAACTTTTGGATATTGCAGTGCTGCTATGAACACTAAAAAATTTTTTTCTAGGCCACCTTCCTGACTGGGCAGAACTTTCTTGTACATGCTTTCTAGGATACATGTTCAGTAGTTTTCCCAAGGCATTGTATTAGTTAGGGTCCTGACAGGGAAAAAAATAACTGTAATGAAAGACAGCCTGCAAAGATGTACACTTCAGAGTGCAATTGCTGGGTTTTGAGCACGTTTATCTTTAAATTTACTGAAGGACAAATTTTTCCAGTGATTGTTTTCAATGTAAGAGCTGACATCATCACCAAAATTTAGTATCATTAGATCATTTCATTTTTGTAAATAAGGTAGAGATGTAATGATACCTCCTTGTAGTTTTATTTTTTACTTCCCAAATATTAATATGGCTGGGAATATTTTCATGTTTCATGGTCATCTGGATTTCCTTTCATTTGAAATGCCATATAAAGTCTTTTGTACAAATTTCTATTGACTGTCTTTTTCTTACTGATTCATAGGGATCATTTATATACTCTGGACACTAATTTTCCACCAGTTATATATATTGCAAATATGGTGGTTCTTTATATTAGGTTTATATTAGGTTCACTAAGTAGGTAAAATTATGCATGCTTATTACCAGTCCTTGTAGTTTTGCTGTATTTTCTTCAAATGCCCCAAATCAAAATTATAATAAAAAGAAAATGGGTTGGATATAATAGACAAAACAGGTAGTAACGAATGTGAAGAAAATTCTGGGCAGAGAAAATAAAAATGAAGGCATAAGAGGGAGGAAGAGTGGAAAAGTAAGGAAACCATCTCTATTAGATCTATAAAAGTTTAAAACTTGATTTCAAATGATTATTAAATATTACTAAATGATTAACATTCAACTAAATAAATCCTAAAATGAAAATAATTTAGCATTTAATCTAATATTGAAGATAATAAAAATAAACTTAAGGCAAGACAGAAAATAATTCAATATGGTATTATTTACCTTTCAGTACATTAAATATTTCATTGAACTTAAATTTGTACAGAATTTACATAAGTAAATCACACGATCAAGAACCATAACACTACAACTTTGTATTTGCCACAGTGTATAATAACATCAGTCATGGGATTGGATTGGCATGCTAACAGGCATTAAGCCTAATTTAAACAATCTAGTAATTAAAAGTCCAGTTACCACTTTGCCAAAGTCTATGAGTTCTTAATTAAGCTATTCCTAAAATATTATAATATATAAAATATATATTTAGATCATAAGCTAAAATATGAAAAGCAAGAGGAGAGAAAACAAAAATATAAGAGAACAAAAGATTTAGCTCCTTAAAGAAGTAACATAAAATGGCTTCCAACTTCATGTTACAATTAAACAGTAATAATAACTATTATTATATTATTGAGACAGGGTCTCGCTCTTCATCCAGGCTGCAGTGTAGTGGCAAGATCTTGGCTGACTGCAGCCTCGACCTCCCAGGTTCAAGAGGTTCTCCTGCCTCAGCCATCTGAGTAGCTGGGATTACAGGCATGTGCCACCAAGCCTGGCTAATTTTTTTTTTTTTTTTTTCGTTTTAGTAGAGATAGGGTCTTATCATGTTGGCCAGGCTGGTCTCAAACTCCTGACCTCAAGTGATCTGCCCACCTCAGCCTCCCAAAGTGCTGTCCTTACAGGTATGAGCCATTGTGCCTGGCCTAAATAATTATTTTTTGAGAAGAACTCATAGATAGCACAAAAGTATTTAGAGAAACTACTTAAGCTAATTACTATTAAGCTCTCTTCTTTCACAAATATTAATAAAAATGTTGATAGAAATGTAACTAAGATATGTAATGTGTTTTAATACACATTAATCTTTTGAATTACACATTTTCTCTTGAAGATTATTAAAAAATGACTGTACAATTCATCCTTCTTTATAGATTTGTGGAGAGTACCAACATAATTGACAAGAAATGAAATACTGCCATTTAAAGGTCCTGTATTAAAATAAAACTACTTTGAATCATCTTAGACTAAATACTTTAAAAAGTGATTCAAGTGCTTATTCATAAGATAACGGAATTCTAAATAAGAAAAGTCAGATTAAAAATTGTATTTTAGGCAAAAACCATTTTAACGCAGATAGTAACTGTGATATTTATTTTCCTGAAGAAAACCACTTGTATTAGTTATGTTAATACTCTTCACAGAACTTAAGATAAATTTTAATTATGAATGCTCATGAAGTATTTAGATACTAGGATCAATGCCAACAAAGTAGTTAAGTGCTGAAAAATTCTTATGATAATATAGGTTTGTGTAAATCTTTGAGAGCCCTTACAAATATGTTTTTATATTCACTATAAAAATAATAAAAAAACACCACCTTCTTATCTCATTCCTAATTTCTCTTTTAAAAATTATCTCATAACAGGATTAATTTCCAATTGATGTATAATGGAAGTAAAATTCTCATGGTTATAAAAAAGATATACGGAATCAATATATATATATCTTAGAAAAGTAAACATCATCTGAGGAAGGATTATTGCACTTGCCTTCACTAAATAAATCTGCAAACTTAAAATCAGAAAGAACAAATTCATTGATTATAAAATAACAAGTTTCAATTTAAAATTAATGATAAAATGTTCAATGTTTACTTAAAAAATATATCAAGGGTATGTTTGGGATTGTTTGGTTTTATTTTCTTTGATGAGTACTTTGTCATCAATCCTGGCCTAGAATTAAAAGGAACACACAATTAAAATGCAGGAGGAGATTCTAGAAAATAATTCATTTCTAACATTGATTACTTAATAATTTATAAAATGATTGAATTTTCATATTGTAGCCAGCTTTATTAAAGCTCTAATTAGCCATACCTTTTTGTTTTTGTTACAGCCTTCTGTACTCCACTTGAGCTACCTTTAGAGGAAAGAAAAGTCAAGAAATTCCATAATGAATAATATGAAATAATTAAAAAGTTGTACAAAAATTTAAAAAGTTAAAACTTATTGATTAAAGATAATAACTTCCGTGGTACTATATAGTTCATATGGAAACACACCAAAAACTATAATTTCTTTGTAATTTACTAATTTTATTAGCATTACACTTAATTTTATTGGTGAAATTTGGGTAGAGTCAGCACTACCAAAAAATAAGTTAAAGAGGCTTTCTGGTTATGCAGTTATAGTTAATTTACCACTGTGTCTTCGCAGATACTCTCTGAAGGAATTTCTTTTTTGATTAGATCACTCAGCTCCTTAAACCTTTGAGTTCATTCTGTGCTAAATCAAGATCAAACTAAAGTTTTCCCCAAATTCACAATCTATAGGCTTGAGTTAATTCTAACCTATGGCAAGGTAACCAAAATTTCCCTAAATGGTGGCATACACAAACTACCCATTTAATAGTATATGTTTCAGATTTAACAATCTCATTAATTTTAATAAAACATATTCCTAGAAAATCATGCAGTTTAAAATGACTACACACTCACCAGTACTTCTGGAGCTTTCTTTGGGTTGATTAACTGGGTTAACTTTGTCGTTTCTTAATTCTTGGATAAAACTTTTATTTAAGCAAACATCCACATGCACATTGAACAGGGTTAGATCTGAAGTCTTTTGTTCTACATTACAAACAGGACAAATTAGAGCTTGGCCTGTTATCACTTCACATAAGTAAGGCTCGCAGGATTCTTGTCTGCTTAATAATCCAACATCTTCGTTTTCCAACGAAACAGTGCAAGAAGAATTCTGATGACAGTGTTCAATATTAAAAGACTTGCCTGGGAGATTAGAACATTCTCCCTTGATATGCTTATTACTTAAAGCATCTATGCTTTCTGCTTTAGATGAGTTATCTATAGTATCTACTAAAGCTACACAATCTACTGAAGACACTTCTTTAATTTTTGGATGGGCTTCATAATCTTGCTTCTCACAAAGTGAAGAAGCAGGAACATTTTCTTTCTTGTTAACTCTGGTAGCAGAAACATGTGAACACGAGAACACTTTAGAGTTTTCACTGATTGAAGATCCATCAAGACATGCATCTACATGTTTATTAAAGGCTTCCAGACTGATGCACCCTTGTGCCCTAAAGCAAACAGGACAGGTAAATATCTGACAGTTATCTGAATTCTCTGATATTTCCAAATTCTCACTCATCTTCTTCTTTAAAACTTGGAATGGTTGTGATGTCTGGAAACTTTGTTTATTCACGGTTTCACATTTAAATGTATCTTGGTGACTCCATTTCCTTTCTGATCGTTTTTTATCAAAGAAACTCTTCTTATGAGACATTTCTAGAGGTTTTACAAACTGATCTTTGTCTGTTTTCTCTAGTATACACCCAGTGGCTGACAGGGCTTGGTTTCCAGTCTGTAAAAAGCCAATAATGCTCCTTTGTTGGTGTTTCCTGTCTTCTTCATTGGGAAAACTAGATATCCGAACACCTAAATTAAACCAATCACAATCAATTTCATATTGAACAAAGCCAATTCACTCATAATGCATAAAAACATTTTGTCTAGTGCTATGACATATGCAAAAGGTTGGCTAGAGAGAAAAAATAAGTCACATTTCAAAGGTGTTATTATAAGTACAAATTTACCTTCCTTTATAAAAGAATATCATTAAATATTAACTATCTATTTGGAGTTAGCATAATGATGTAGGATTTTAATTCATATATGACACATACCATTACATTAATACCAGTAACTAACCGAAGTCAACTATACAGACTCTTTAGCTCTTTTTTTTCTAATAAACTTTATTTTTTAGAGAAATTTTAGGTTCACAGCAAAATTGAGCAGAAGGTACAGTGAGTTCCCATAGATTCCCTTCCCCTACACAAGCATACCCCTCCACCCCAACTATCAACATGTGGCACCAGAGTGGTACATTTGTTACAATCTATAAACCTACATTGCCACAACATTGTCACTCAAAGTCCATAGCTTACATAGGGTTCACCCTTGGAATACATTCTGTGTGCCTGGACAAATTTATAATGACGTGTCATTATAGAATCATACAGAATCATTTCATTGCCCTAAAATTCCTGTGTTTTTGCCTATTCATCCCTTCTTCTCCTCTTAACTCCTGACAATCAATTATTTTTTATGGTACTCATATTTGCCTTTTCCAGAATCTCATATGGTTGGAATCATACAGTATTTAGTTTTTTCAGATTGGCTTCTTTTACTTAACATTATGCAGTTAAGTTTCATTCATGTCTTTTCATGAATTGATAATTCACTTCTTTTCTGTGCTGAATATTATTCCACTGTCTGTATGTACCACAGTTTATTTATCCATTCATGTACTGAAGGACATTTTGCTTGTTTCAAAGTTTTGGCAATTATGAATTAAGCTTCTATAGATATCTGCTCTTGGCTTTTTTTTTTTTTTTTTTTTTTTTTTTTTTGAGGTAGAGTTTCACTCTTGTTGCCCAGGCTGGAGTGCAATGGTGTGATCTCAGCTCACTGCAACCTCCACTTCCCAGGTTCAAGCGATTCTCCTGCCTCTGCCTCTCGAGCAGCTGGGATTACAGGTGCCCACCACCGTGTCCAGCTAATTTTTTGTAGTTTTAGTAGAGATGGGGTTTCACTATGTTGGCCAGGCTGGTCTCAAACTCCTGACCTCAGGCGATCCACCTGCCTTGGCCTCCCAAAGTGTTGGGATTACAGGTGTGAGACACCACGCCTGGCCTGGCTCTTTTAATTAACACTTTATTCAGTAGATTTCAGTGTGTGCTATATCTTTCATAAATGAAAGTATGGCTAGTGACCCACTCCTTACTGGTAAAATGTGCATTTGGAGTGCTGATCCATATACATACTTTCAACCAGTTCACTTTGGAAACATGGCTTGTTAGTTTTTACCATGTAATGGCTTGGAGATGTGATTTCACAATGTCACAATCCTTTATCTGTAATTCCAAAATCCAAAAAGTTCTGAAAATTGTAAGCAACAAGTGATACTCGATGACTAAATTAAAGTCATCAGTCTTTACAGTCTCTGAATATTTTGTTTTGCTATAGAAATATTAATATGTTTGAATAGGGGGTGTTGCCCCAGATCCACAAAGAAGTATTACAACATAATATACTCTACATGCACTGAATTTGCTTTCCAAAATCTGAAAAGTTTTGAATTTTGAAAGATACCTGGCCAAAAGAATTTCATTAAGTTATGAGGAAAAGAACAACTTTAATTGGCTCTTACTGGAATTAAACTAATGATCATGGCTTCACACATCAGGGTCTAATAATTAAGATAAATGGCAGCAGCAAAGGAAGAACTTCCTAAACAGATTTAAGAAATAAAATGAAGGCGAGAATACAGGTGCTCATTGACTTACAATAGGATTGTATCCAGATAAACCCACTGTAAATTGAAAACATAATAAGTCAACTTACAATACTTTCAATTTATGACAGGTTTATCAGGATGTAACCGCACTGTAAGTCAAAAGTGTACTGAAAGCATACAACTTTCCCACTATCGCAAAGTTGAAAAATCATTAAGTTGAACCATTGTTAAGTTGGGGGCCCCCTGTATTCCCAAAGTGAATTATTTAGGAAAACCTAGCAGATTTAAGGAAAAACAAAAAAATTAAAAAGTCATACCCATAAGTCTTAATCTCAAGGGATGCGGAAAATCAGCATCAATTTCTGTTTTTAGCAATTCCTTAGCAATGGCAAATATTTCTTCTGCAGTAGAAACAACAGATGAAACTGTAGATGCACGAGTTTTTACTTCAAAATTCACATTCTTCAACTTAATGGTAACAGTTCTACCCTATAACATATACAATATGTTATTTATTTATTTATGAGACAGAGTCTCTCTCTGTTGTCCACGCTGGAGTGCGCTGGCACAGCTGTAGCTCACTGCAGCCTTCAACTTCTGGGCTCAGGTGATCCTCTTGCCTCAGCCTAGCCTCCTGAGTAGCTAAGATTACAAGTGCATGTCACTACACCAGCTAATTTTTTATTTTTTGTAGAGATGGAGTCTCACTACGTTACCTAGGCTAGTCTCAAATTCCTGGCCTCAAGCGATCCTGGCCTTGCAAAGTGTTGCAATTATAGGCATGAGCTACTGCACCCACCAGAATACATTATTCTGTATGACTTCCTAATTTCTAGAAAAAAGTCATTTACATGTTAGAAAAATTCAGAAAGGTTTATGGACATAAGATTATGGAAGTATAACCAATTATTTATAAAACATGGTGATAAAAATACCACAAAGAATAAGAGGCCGGGCGTGGTGGCTCGTGCCTGTAATCCCAGCACTTTGGGAGGCCGAGGCGGGCGGATCACGAGGTCAGGAGTTCAAGACTAGCCTAGCCAATATGGTGAAACCCTGTCTCTACTAAAAATACAAAAATTAGCTGGGCATGACGGCAGGCGCCTTTAATCCCAGTGACTGGGGAGACTGAGGCAGGAGAACAGTTTGAAGCTGGGAGGCGGAGGTTGCATTGAGCCGAGATCATACCATTGCACTCCAGCCTGGGTGACAGGGCAAGACTCCACCTCAAAAAAAAAAAAAAAAAAAAAAAAATTAAAATACCATTTTAGCCAAAAACTTTTACTCCCCTTTCCAAACACAAGCTGAAATCCCATTTTATTTTGTTTTTGAGATGGGGGTCTCGCTCTATTGCCCAGGCTGGAGTACAGTGGCGTGATCATGGCTCATTGCAGCTTCGACCTCCCAGGCTCATGTTATCCTCCTGCCTCAGCCTCCCAAGTAGCTGGGACTACACACTCGTGCCACCATGTCCAGCTAATTTTAAAATTTTTTTTGTAGAGACGTGATTTCACTGGGTTGTCCAGGCTGGTCTTGAACTCGTGGGCTCAAGCAATCTCTTGCCTCAGCTTCCTAATGTGCTGAGATTACAGCCATGAGTCACTATGCCTGACCTAAAATCCCATTTTAGCCAGTAATTATTATTCCCCTTCCCAACTGAATTTTTTTGTTTGTTTTTTGTTTTAGACAGAGTCTCACTCTGTTGCCCAGGCTGGAGTGCAGTGGCGGGATCTCGGCTCACTGCAGCCTCTGCCTTCCAGGTTCCAATGGTTCTCCTGCCTCAGCCTCCAGAGTAGCTGGGATTACAGGTGCCCGCCACCATTTTTAGTAGGGATGGGGTTTCACCGTGTTGGCCAGGCTGATCTCAAACTCCTGACCTCAGGTGATCCACCCACCTCAGCCTCCCAAAAAGCTGGGATTACAGGAATGAGCCACTGTGCCTGGCCCCACAACTGAATTTTTATGAAAGGCCATTACATTAAGGGAAAGGTTAAATGATCACTTTTACTTTTACTGAATCTCTTTTGGAGGTTGATTCATTATCTACAAAGGAAGGAAAAAAATATTTCGAAAAGTGTCTCACTGAAAAGGACTTATGAATAGCTCACACTTATTGTGTGCCTTCTGCATTGTCAGATGCTATGCCAAACAATTTAAATGTAAGAATTCCTTTTACAGTTAAGTGTTTTATGAGTGCAGGGTTTCAGTGGAGACAATGAAACAGTTCTAGAGATGGGTGGTGGTGATGGTTATAAAACAGTATGAACTGTACACTTAAAAATGGTTAAAATGGTAAATTTTATGTTATGTATATTTTAGTATCCCCTGGAGGAGGAAGTTAATTCCTGCTCTCTCTCATCTCAGGGTAGATTAGATTTACTGACTTACTTCCAAAGGGAAAAACACTAACTTCACAGTGGAGAAGCCTAGCAAACAGTAACCAAGTAAGGAAAGTTAATATCATCCATGACATCATGTGGCTATTATATACCCCATGATAGGATGTTATGAGAAGGGCACTTCCTCTTTGTGATATTCTTTCTAAAAATCCATAACCCTGATCTAATTATGAGAAAATCATCAGACAAACCCAGATTGGGCGACATTCTGCAGAATACCTGTATGGTAATACCCAAGATTGTCGAGGTCATGAAAAAGAAGGAAAAACTAAGAAACTATCACAGACCAGGAAACCGGAGAGACATGTCAGCTAAATGCAATGTAGTCCCCTGGATTGAACTCTAGAAGGCAGGGAGGATATTAATGGAAAAATTAGTAAACTCCAAATAAAGTCTAGGGTTGACTTAATAATTGGCAATGAATGAAATATCAGTTTCTTACTTTTGACAAATGTACTCTGGTAATATGTTAATAATGGAGGAAACCAGGTGAGGAGTATGCTGAAATTCTATTATTTTTGTGACTTTTCTGGAAACCTAAAATGATCATAAAATTAAATGTTTATTAAACATTTTTTAAAAAGAAAATTATTTAAACTCAAGGTACGATAGAGAAGGACTATGAGAAAAATACTCATAAGATATCCCACTCTTGGTACTAATTTTTTTAAAACAAATTTTTCACTGATTAGCGTAATAGTTTTACTGATGCATTATATGAACATAGTAAGTTATCACATGTACCTCATAGTTTTGATCTTTGTAAAGATCAAATAAGTGTACTTGGGATATCTACTACCTTAAATATTTGCATTTTCTTTATGCTAGAAACATGCAAATTGTTCTCTTCTAGCTATTCTGATATGTAAAATAGATTACTGTACACTATAATCACTTTACTGATCTATTGAACACTAGGTCTCATTTCTTCTATCAAACCAGATATTTGTACCTGTGTAGCAATTTTAAAATACCTTTTTATTATGCTTTGTACTGATTCTGCCTCTGGTTTGAGAGTGTTGGGAATACTCTAAATATAAATTGTTGTGAGTGAAGATTATAAAATAGCAAGTTCAAAGTCTTATAGGTTTTGTTGTCCTGTGTTAAGCAACCTGGATTACAAGCTTGAAACAAAATGGCTATTTTAGAAAGTCATTGTCTAAGTAAGAAAAACATTAAAGGATGATTGGAAAGACATTTGTAATATGTGAATACAATTCTCTGCAAATTCTTTCTTCTGCCTTATTCTCTAATGCCAGTGTAACTCTGGTTTTAACTTATTCAAATGTACTCCCGAGGTACAGAAGTAAAGTCCTCTGAATTATACTGAACCACACTATCCTCACAAGTTGCTTCTTCATAGAATCACCCCATCACAGACTCCAGATATAGGTCAGAATTGGATTTGTATCTGACTGTTGGTGATAGGACTGCACTATTCTGACGTTTATTAATTTGTATTCACCTTTAAGAATAATGTGTAATCTAACTCTAGCTTTAAGGTAGCATTTTATTATTAAAAAACTTAAAAACTAAGGACACCATATCAAAATAAAGCACCTTAAGTCCTTCTTTCTGTAGATCTCGAGCAAGTTCACTGCAAAGTTCTTCACATAGGCTGTATTGTTCTTCCGCTTTATTTATCTCACTGAATGTCCTAGAAAGATAAGAATAATTTTGGTGCACAAAGTAAACTATAATCCAGGATAATTTGGAAATGGTATGCATGTTTATATGGCTAGCATGAAGTTATATTTTCTGCAGTACAAAATAAAGTTTTCAAATGAACTAAAATTTAATTAAGTAAAAACATCTAAGATCTATATAAATAATGGAAACCCACTTAAACAGGAAAGTTTGAGTAGCAAAGAAACAATTTTATGCTGTTGCTCTATTATATCACAAAAAAGATAATTAAAATTACCAACAGATAATGGTAATGCCTCCAGAACTTAAAACAGATTAGGGTATATGTATATATAGACTTTGTTACAGAGGATTATGTTAAGAAAGTCCAAATGAGAACATCATTCCAATTACTGTACATGGATTTTCTGGATGAGAAACACCTTTAAGTAGATTTAAGGGGTTGGCTCATGGAACCTAGGCAGAGTTGTTTAATAGACAGCTGAAAATAGAAGGCTGATAAGACTAAATGTAGGTATTTTGAATTCATCTACAAAAGAGTGTTGAAATAAGTTGACAAGTGATATTAACATAAAAGAGGATAATACAAAGAGACCAGAATGATGAGTATGGACCCTGAGCAAGTAACTCTTCAGTAAAGAGTCCCCTTTCTACTTCTAACCTTAACCTCAGCTACTCAGTTCTCTTTCCTAGTGGCAACCAATGTGTCAGCTTCTTATGCTTATGAATTCCTTAGAAATATTCCACGTATACGGGCGCCTGTAGTCCCAGCTACTCGGGAGGCTGAGGCAGGAGAAGGGCGAGAACCCGGGAGGCGGAGCTTGCAGTGAGCTAAGATCATGCCACTGCACTCCAGCCTGGGCAACAGAGACTCCGTCTCAAAAAAAAAAAAAAAGAAATATTCCAAGTGTGTATATATATATATATATATATATATATATAAAATAAGCAAACCATTAGACATTTTCCTCTCATGTTTTACATAAACAGTAGAATTTTAGATACATTGTTTAATACTCTGCTTTTCTCAATTTATCATGGTGAGAGTTCCCCATGAGTAAATGATTTCCTCATTTTTATATAGCAGCATAATATTCTAATTTAATGATGTAAGGTAATTTAACCAATTCTCTATTCATGGATATTACAGTTTTTTTCTATCATAAAAAATGCAATAAGTAACCCTGTATATATGTAAAATGACATGTGACTACATATCTGGAATTAATTCTTAATAAAAGAATTATGGCATCAAAGTACATGTATCTGTGATTTTGACACATATTATCAAATTTCTTACCCCTGTGGTAGGCTAGATAATGGTCCCTAAAAATGTCCACATCCTAATCCCTGAAATCTGTGAACCTAGTATCTTATATGACAAAAGGGACTTAGTAGATGTGATTAAATTCTGACTGAGGATTATTCTGGAATGTTCAGCTTTGCCCAATGTAATCCCAAGGGTCCTTATAAGAAGGAGGCAGGAGGGTTACAGTCAGAGAAAGAAGTTGCTGAGGCTATGAGCCAAAGCTTCTATGGCCTCTAGAACCTTTTCATAAAGAAATGGACTCTCTCCCAGAGCTTCTAGAAGAAATGGAGCTCTACCAATACATTAACTTTAGAACCACTGACTTTCAGAATGATAGAGAATAAATCTGTGTTGTTTTAAGCCACTAAATTTGTAGAAACTTGTTTTAATAGCAATAAAAAAAACCTAATGTACTCCCTCTAAAGTTTACACATTTTCATTCCTACAGTTTTGCCAACAGAGTATGTTAGAATCTTTGCCAACCTGATTAGTGAAAGGTATCTGAGAGAACTTTCAATCTGTATTTCTTTAATTATAAATGAAAATGGTAATATTTTCACTTGTTTTAAGAGCCATTTGTATTTCCTTTTCTGTTAATTAATTAGACCTTTGTTCATTTTTTCTGTTGGCTTACTGTCCCTTTTTTTATTGATTATAAGAGTTCCTTCTGTATTAGAGAAGTTAGTTTGTGATATAAATTGCAACCTCCTTTCCCCCAACTTCATACCAAATTTGATGTTATACTGCCCATTTTAAAAAGCCAAGAGGAGACAGTTTCCAGAAAAAAAAAAGTGGAGAACACATTCCTGTACATCAAATAGTGCTCCCAATAACAGAGAAAATGGCAGAGAAATGTTATCAAATAGGGCAATACTATTTTGCTTTTGGATGCTTTTTTTTAAATCTCTCTTTGCTTGCTTTCATATGGACCAAAACCTAAAATAGCAATTTTTATCAAAGCCATTTATTATGCTGTCCTGTAAAAGTTATTCAGCTTTTCTGACCACAAATAACATATGTGGAATATGAACACAACCTTGTACTAGGTCAGTGTTTTGTTTTGTCTTGTTTTGATTTTGAGACAGAGTCTTACTCTGTCGCCCAGGCTGCAGTGGAGTGGTGCCATCTCAGCTTACCGCAAACTCCGCCTCCCGGGTTCAAGCAATTCTCTTGCCTCAGCCACCCAAGTAGCTGACATTAAAGGTGTAAGCCACCATGCCGGGCTGATTTTTGTATTTTTAGTAGAGACAGGGTTTTGCCATGTTGGCCAGGCTCATCTAGAACTCCTGGCCTCAAGTGATCTGCCCACCTCAGCCTCCCAAAGTGCTGGGATTACAGGTGTGAGCCACCTTGCCGGGCCCTAGGTCAGTGTTTCTTAAATGTCTCAGTGGAACCTTGCTGCTTTGAGGAGATAATTGAAGGACGTTTCAAACAATGACTTATTTCCCCAAACAGTAAGTTTCCATCATTATTTCGTTTGGTTTTCAAACAAGATTGTAAACCACTAAACTAGATCATCTTTAAGCTCTCTTTCATCAGTAATATTTTACTGTTTAAGCTTCTGCTTAATCACCAATATTGAAATAATTTTAGGAAGAATTCCAATTGTTACTTCTTAAATTTCTGAAGTAAATACTCAATTGTCCTTAGAAACAAGCTAGAAATTAAGATATGAAATTCTAAAATGCTTGGTTTTCACTAGGTAGGATTAAAACCAACATTAAAAAATAGTTGAAGTTAATTTCTGAGATTATAGCAACTGAAAATAATAGTCTTATACCAAGGCATTTACTGCAGGGAGTGTAAACTACTAAAAATTGTTATAGTAATTTGCAAATAGATTTCTTATTTCAGTGATATTTACTAAAAATTAATTCAATATTAGTTTAAAATAAGATGAATTATGCACAATTAACAATAATTAATAAATAAAACATTACCTCTCAACGCTCATACTCTTCCTCTCTCCATCCCTTGAAATGAAAAAAAAAGACTTTATTTTTCAAAGACTGAGTTGTTTTTAGTTAACGAAGAGGATTTAACATATCAATTACCTTTTAGAGATCTCAAATTTTTTATTAAAATTTATACATCATGAAAAACAGTTTTTTATCTAAAAATAAATCAGCAAAGAACATAGACAGGTAAGATGCTAATATGATTATGAATCAAGTCTATATCTATTGAAAAGAACAAACTTGAAAATAGGTAGATATTAGAAATTGCTTCTATTAAAAATCTGACTATCAAAAACCACAACTTATGAAAACAAATAGGAAGTGATAGTGTAATATCTTCCAGTTATAAAATATAATTGAATTTTAAATAATTTAAAATCAGTTATCTAGTTTTTGGCTTAGTATATTAACTTCTTTCTCCCACAGCCTATTCATTATTCATTTATACCACTATATAGAACCTCAGTCAGAATTTGGTACACAGCTATAGGATGAAGATTGGGAATCTGAACCACCTAGTTTGGCTGTATTCTAGCTGCTCTGACAGGATTAGTTAAAACCAAAAAGTTGAAATGACATGTAGAGTACTCATTTTCCAAATATTTAGTGAACCTATTATGATTCAAGCACTGTTCTAGAACTTGAGGATACAGTAATGAAGGAAGCAGACCAAGTACTTGCCCTTAGGAAATGTATATATCCCATTGGAGAGAGACAGATAAACGAATATAGTAGTAAATATGGAACGGGTTAGAAGGGGAGAAGTACTCTGATTAAAAAGCAAAGCAGAATAGGCGAATAGAGAATATGGGCAGAGGGAAAGGCAGGCTTTGTATTTTTTATTATAAATTACCTATGAATTTCATGTAAAAGCCTTACCTGCATCTCTAAATACCACAAGTTAATATATGTTATGTTACATCAGAACTATATTGTTTTCAAGCACTATGGAAATAAAAAAAATTTTGGATTAAAAATGAAGTTTTATTTCCTGCTATCTTCAAATATAATTATTTATGGTGCTGTGATATCTTTATCTTTCATTATGCCCACTGAAGATTAAAGTCAGCTAACTGTGGACTCAAAAGATTGAAGAGCAGGAAGAGACGAGAAAAGCAATACAACAAGCCTTGCACTCTCTGTAAAATTTAGTAGGCTTAATTGGTCCATCAATTTTACATGCATCCTCATTGATTTTTATTGTTGTCCTTCAGTTTAAATACAAGAATATAAAGGAGTCATTTTGAGGACAGGCTGACAAGGTGATGACAAAATTGTAAAAATAGTGCCCAGTGTTGACTTCCATGATTCCCAGTCTTTTAAAATTTCCTTCTTTTCACCTACTATCCCACAACAATTTACCTTCTACCTCTAGGGTTCCTCTTTTTAAGACCTACATGAAAGAGTGGCAGGGAAGAAAACCCAGGGTATTTCCTCCAGCTGTTCCCTCTTCTAGCCTTTGCATGGCAGGCTCCCTCAGGTCTCTCTGCCTTTGGATGATGGTTGCTAACCCTTCACACTTACTCCCCAGTCATTTTCTATGCCCTCACTCTGCTTTACAATTATTTTCTATTGCTCACACTAGTCTGTAAACTCCATGAGGGCAGGAATTTGTCCTATTCGCTGCTGTTATCCACAGTGCCTAGAATAGTACCTAACACAAAGTAAAGTACTCAGTACTAAATGAATGAATCATTTACAAATCTGGAAAAGAAAAGAAATGTAGTTTAAAGCTTTCAAAGAATCATTACATCTCCTTCCTTAAAGGGTGAATTACAGAATATGGCCATCTTTCTTTTCACAACAACCTGACTACTGGCATTTCTTAGGTTCTGAACAAAGAACAAGGTAGGGATAAAAAAGAAAGTAGCTATCATTCCTCTTGTCTCTCTACCCAACTGCTGACGCCACAACCTAGGAGTGATTCTTTATTCTTCTTTTCCTTTCCTCCTACATCCAATCTGTTGACTCTAATTCAAACATTATATTTTGAATTAAACTAGCCTGAAAGAATTTTAAAACATGTTATCCAGATAGCCTCATCTCAATGGTTAAAACTGATATTGCAGCAAACGTTAAGAAAAAGCAGAATGACAATACATATAGATACCTTGTCAGGTATGTTGAACCTAGACCCAAGGAGATATGAAGGAAATAATGCCAAGATGTTTCAGAGAAAAGGAGAGAAAGCAATGCCCTCTGTTGGTAAAGTTCCGTACATGTAATAATTCCAAGGGCCTTTAACATTTTCTCTGTAACTTTTCCTATTCCAGAAACCTAGAAAAGAATCAATATTTATTATTAATAGATTTTAAAGTTAAGCTAAAAATTGAGATTACAATCTCATTACACTTTTTTTTTTTTGGGCGGGGGGAATGGAGTCTCGGTCTTGTTGCCCAGGCTGGAGTGCGGTGGCGCCACGTCGGCAACCTCCGCCTCCTGGGTTGTTCAAGCGATTCTCCTGCCTTAGCCTCCTGAGTAGCTGGGATTGCAGACATGCGCCACCATACCCGGCTAATTTTGTATTTTTAGTAGAGATGGGGTTTCTCCATGTTGGTCAGGCTGGTCTCGAACTCCTGACCTCAGGTGATCCGCCCACCCTGGCTTCCCAAAGTGCTCATTTTATCTTTTATAATCGATAAAAGGTACGAATAATGTGACTATCTTCACAAGTCATGCAGGAAAACTGCTTTAATTACCTTTTGACCACATTTACTAAACTAGGGCTTCATGTAAGTTCAAAAGGCATTAAAAAAGGAGTGCTGTGTTCATATAAACTTGGGGAATGGTGGGATTAACAAATTTAAGTGAAACTTTTTATTCCAAGATTTATGAATCTTTAATATATTAATATGCATAGTGACACATCAAAAGTAGTACACTCCAAAGGTATTTGAACCCAGAACCTTTTTAAAGGGAATACCTATTCATACTTGAAAAACGTATTGGAAAACACTGCTTTGCAGCTACACCTTACATATACTAGTCAGTAATCACTATATATTACATACTGAGCACTGAAAAATATTTAAATTCATTCATGTACATTATGTTGAACGAGAAAAGAAAGTCCTAGATCATATACAGTAGTGTATGGTGCAATTATTGAAAAAAAAGTATATATATGCAGAAAAATCTAGAAGCTCTAAAAAATAATAAAGTATACACTTTCTGGAACCCCTGAGGGATAATTTTACCATTTTTAAAATGGCAAAATATTTTGGTTTATTCTTTGTCAAAAACAATTAAAATTCTAAATCTCTTTGAAGCATCATGCCCATTAATCTAGCAGCAATCTAGACTTTAGAACTAAGATAGCACTAAGTTACAGATGAAGGGACTGTTAGAAATATTCTTTTAATTTCTCTTCTCCTTGGCAGGAATTCACTTAAAAATCTGTGATTATTACTTTCTTAAAAGTTTACAGCAAATAAGCTAAATCTCACTTTCAGGGTTTCACAGAAAGGTTTCTTCAAGTTCAAATTCTATCACCCATTATAGTTCTTGCTTGTTATCTATTGTTTTAAAACATTTTAGCAAAGAATGATTAACTATTGACCTACATAGTATCTCTTCAGAATTCAGAGGACATATACAAAAATAAACTGTATGTAAAAATCTTACCTTTCTAATGGGTAAATCCTTGATGAAGTCCATCACAGCTTGTCTATTGGGAAGAATTTGGTATTGTCCATTTGGTTTATTCTTATCACTGCATACTTTTGCTAACATTGTATTTGGGGCAATGCCTTAAAAGAAGAATACTCTGATGACTCAAAGAAGTTGATATGTGTGACTTTTAAAAATGCAATAACAAAACAGAAAAAAATGTTAATTGCAAAAAATCTCAAATGATATATAATGCTACTTTAAAAATAACAATTGATTACCATCTATGTCCCCAGGGCTTGCTATGGTCTTAGGAAAAGAAAGTGTACTAGTTATTGTGGCAGCAAAAATGAGAAATATTTAATTCTCCATGATATTTTAAAATGTAAGAGTAATTTCTGAGCTAAGTAATATTAAGTGTAATTATTAGTTTACTTACTACCTTTAGTAGGAATACAGAATTTTTTATTTTTTCCAGATGGAGGCTTGCTCTGTCACCCAGGCTGGAGGCAATGGCGCAATCTTGGCTCACTGTAACCTCCACCTCCTGGGTTCAAGTTATTCTCCTGTCTCAGCCTCCCAAGTAGCTGGGATTAGAGGCATGCACCACCACGCCTGGGTAATTTTTGTATTTTCAGTAGAGATGGGGGTTTCACCATATTGGTCACGCTGGTCTCGAACTCCTGACCTCAAGTGGTCCACCAGCTTTAGCCTCCCAAAGTGCTGGGATTACAGGCGTGAGCCATCATGCCCAGCCCAGATTGTTTTTATAGTGGTTCTATATCTACCTCTCAGAAAAGATCCAGAATATAATTTAGGGTGGATGTTTACTCTTTGAAAAGATCTTTTGCATAGATTATCCACATAAAGCAAAAAATCGAAGATTCTGGTTATAGTATATTTAAAATAATAATTAGATTGGTGTATCCTTTTTATGTTATTCACAGAACAGATTACTATTTTTCAGAAAGATGTTTTACAATTTCTAGGAATCCTGATTAAGATAATTTGAAATAGGTATATTCAAATAGATTCATTAAACAGTTCATGTCAATTGTTATATAGATCTTCCTAAAATGCATTATTCATTCTCATGTTTTGGTGTAGAAAGAAAAGATTTACCTAGTCACAGTTTGGCTTTTACAAGATAGTTCAGGGTCCTCATGATGAATAATAGTTATTATGCTAAGAGACAGTGATGGCCTCATGGGTTAACAACATATGTCAATTTGTTTTAACTTTACCAGATGATCCTGGATTGCTATGTTGCTAGTTAGTATTCCTTTTGTCTCCTACCTTGTGGCCATCCGGGTTCTCTCCTGCAATGTAATCTTGGACATCCCAAGGAAAAACTAATAATCAAGTATTACATGCAAAAACAACAAAAATATATTTTGTGCTAGAAAAAGATAGCTATATGAAATTTATGGGTTGGGCATGGTGGCTCACACCCGTAATCCAGCACTTTGGGAGGCCAAGGTGGGCGGATCACGAGGTCAGGAGATCAAGACCATCCTGGCTAACATGGTGAAACCCTGTCTCTATTGAAAATACAAAAAATTAGCCGGGCATGGCGGCATGCGCCTATAGTCCCAGCTACTCAGGAGGCTGAGGCAGGAGAATCGCTTGAATCCAGGTGGCAGAGGCTGCAATAAGCTGAATGAGATTGCCCCACTACACTCCAACCTGGGCGACAGAGCAAGACTCCATCTCAAAAAGAAAAAAAAAAAGAAAGAAATTTATAATCTCTTTTTTCTTCAGGCTCATAGTCTGCTTAACTCCAATTTACTTACTAGGTTCACAGCTATTCTGAATAGGTAAAGTCATTAGAAGTTGAATCAAAGACTATATAAGTAAAATGTTACTAAATACTTTATAATGAGAAACTACTAATATTACACTTGAATTAGCCAGTCTGAAAATTATAACTATAGTGGCCACCAATACCCTTTTAAATACCTGCACTGGCTGTCAATGTTGTTTTTTGCTCGATTCTGAAACGAATTTCCTTTACCACTTCCTCGGCTGATGTTCCAAAAACAATTGAGTTTTGGAGTATTTGAGGACTGTTTTGTTCTTCAAAGTTCACTTGGAAAGGATCTCCTGGGGGCAGCAAATCAGAAGGACTCTCTTCAAAAAGTAGTGGAGAGATGGATCGTTCATGGTCACTCAGTTTATTAACTTCCTTTCCTGGATTATCTAAATCATAAACAGGAACAATAACTCACGTTTATTTTAAGAAGTATATACTTCATAAGTTAGGTTTCCCTACATTATTTCTGAAGACAAAAAAAAAAAAAAAAAATCTAGTTTAGCTTAGTTTCTAGGATCCAAGATCAGAAATGCCATCATTTATCATTTACTGTTTTATAACTGTTAAAGAGAACACTGATTATGTATTTTTCCTAACAAGACTATTATCCATTTCCACAACATAAATATTAAAAGAAAATATTCTGTGTAAAACTCTTTAATGTTCGTACCTAAATTAATTGAAATTCAGAATTGGGTTTCAGTTCACATTACCTTTTCCTTAAAAAAAAAAAAAAAAAAAGGAAATCTTTTCTTTATTCTCCTTTAGGAAGAAAAAGAATCTTCTAAAATTAGAATTTAGGAATGAGGAAAAAGGCATTTAAGCAATATATAATAATTACACCTGAAAATAAAGTTTTGTTTTTAGAAGGAAAAACACTTAACTTTTCTTCATTCATGGAAGAAAACTTTTAGATTTTAAAATAATCTGAATTTTCTTCTTTCAAATGCTGATTTTAATTTTGATTTGCTTGTTTATGAAGTATCACTTTGATTAAGGGCACATTTGTAATAAATAGAAATTACCTCTGAAAGTTATGCTTTGAATATACAAATTCTTAAGGTCTGATTGGATGATCCAAGTTTAAGAAAAAGAGACATTATTAATAGGCTATAAACTATTATTACAAAGTAAAGTAAAAATACCAATCTGGTTATTACCTCCTTATATTTATATTTTTCATAAATGGACTCTATAAAATATACTTAAATCTATACTGATACTAAAAATGTCTCCATGAACAAATCTATTAAAGCCTATTTTCTGGGCTTAATGTAGAAGAAATACAATTTAAATGCATTTGTAACAACCAAGGTTAGCAAAAAAGCTTTCTGATCCCATCTCATAATTTTATTACATATAAATATTTTCCAAATTAAGGTAAATGCAGAAGCAAAAATTAAATTTCTAGTTTTAAGACACATATGAATGTATATTACTTGAAAAATGAACTTGGCTGTTTAGGAAAAAAATTTTAAAATAATATAAAATAAATATGATAGACATCTGATAAATTTAAAAATTTAAAATATGTAGTGTGAATTAAGTCATAGATGTTAATTCAGTCAGATGTTTTCCAAATCTGAATTCCCAGGGCACATACACAATAAGCCAATTTTCTTTCTCTCCTTTTTTTTTTTTTTTTTTTGAGACAGGGTCTCCCTCTTGCCCAGGCTGAAGTGTAGCTGGGACTACAGGCACAAGCCATCATACCTAGTTAATTTTATACTTTTTTGGTAAAGATAGGGTTTCACAATCTTGCCCAGGGTGGTCTCCAACTCCTGGGCTCAACTGATCCTCCCACCTCAGCCTCCTAAAGTGCTAGGATTATAAATGTGAACCACCTTGCCTCGCCAATAAGCCTTATTTTCAAACTTACATTAGCTGATATTTATGTGCTTCAGTTCCTGTCACTTTTTAATATTCTGGTTTTAAAATGTAGAGCAATTCAGAGGGGAAACAGGCCAGGCACGGTGGCTCACGTCTGTAATCCCAGCACTTTGGGAGGCTGAGGCGGGCGGATCACCTGAGGTCAGGAGTTCAAGATCAGCCTGGCTAAGATGGCGAAACCCCATCTCTACTAAAAATACAAAAATGAGCCAGGCATGGTGGCGCACAGCTACTCAGGAGGCTGGAGCAGGAGAATTACTTCAACCCAGAAGGCAGAGGTTGCAGTGAGCTGAGAACGTGCTACTGTACTCCAGCCTGGGTGACAGAGTGAGACTCCATCTCACAAAAAAAAAAAAAAAAAAAGACTGTGAAACAGTTGAAATGGTATCTACCTGGAGACCTTTTCCTCATCTGGATGGGTAGAAGTAAAGGTAAAGAGAGCTACAGAAAAACTGCAAACCAAATGAGTTATCTGTCACATTCATAAGTCCCTTCTGCCGAGTTTTTTATGCCATGTTTTGTACCTCATGCCTCAACCACCCAGCCCTCAGGTGAGTCACTGTGAGAGCAGAATTATACAGCAGGAAGCAAAGAATGCCGCCCTCTAGTACATTATCAGAGCTGCTGCAGAATGCTCAGGTATCTTTTCAATCTGAACTACATTCTACTTTTCTGTGAGGCCTGGTTGTGCAACCAACAGTTGGACTAGTTTCTTATTTGCTTTGTGTCAGAAACATCTTTATAATCCCCATAACTGAGGTAATCAGAATGTAACACTAGGATTAAAGCATTTCATTTGAACGACAAGCGCTAAAAAGTGAATGGCATTTCAGTTTCTTTTATTATCTGGCACTCACCATCCAGATTTAGATGGGAGAGTAAACATTTAAAAATTTTATTTGTATGTAGAGATGGTAGTTAGCAATATATTTCCAAAGACAAACACCTTTTAGAAAATGGGGAAACAGCAAAAAAATGTCTTGGACTTTAGAGGAAGATATATCAATTGCCTGCCACAGTCTATGCACTATTGACAATTTCCCATGGCATGATGTGAGATGAGACATGCCTGAAAGTCCAGCCCACAGGTATTTACACATGAGAAGAAAATTTAAACTATTCCAATTGCTTAGGAATATGAAAATACATGAAGAGGGCGCTGTACAAGTAAATATGTTAAAAGCAATAGATATTAAAAACTCACATACTCATAGTGAGTTTGGACATTATAAGAAATGAAAAGAACATTAGTAGGCCGGGCGTGGTGGCTCACGCCTGTAATCCTAGCACTTTGGGAGACTGAGACGGGCAGATCACTTGAGGTCAGGAGTTTGAGACCAGCCTGGCCAATATGGTGAAACTCCGCCTCTACTAAAAATACAAAAAACTAGCCAGGTGTGGTGGCAGGCACCTCTAATCCCAGATACTCAGGAGGCTGAGGCAGGAGAACTGCTTGAATCCAGGAGGCAGAGACTGCAGTGAGCTGAGACCATGCCACTGCACTCCAGCCTGGGCAACAGAGTGAGACTCTATCTCAAAAAAAA